CCCCCCCCCCCCCCCCCAGGTACTTATTTGTTGTTGGAGGGTTGGGCTTATGGGCATTATATGGGGTGGTACTATTACATTATTGTGGTTTTTAAACTATTGTTTTTAAATGGCTATGTAGTGTGAATCACTTTGTGTTACATTGTATTTGTATGAAAAGTCCTATATAAATAAAGATTGATTGATTGATTGATTGATTGATTGATGTCTGTATGGTAAACACAAAGCTAAAGCCTGCAACTAGTTAGCTTAGCATAAAGACTGGAACAGGGGAAAACAGCTGGCCAAGCTCAAAGGAAACAAATCACATTTAAAGCTCACTAAGTAACACGTTATAATTTGTTTGTTTAAAAAGCAGACTATTCACCATTTCAAAGGGATTTTGTACCACACTATTTATTGGCCAGGTGCAGGAACTTCCTGGAGTCTCCACTGTTTGCCTGGTAACCTCACAGTGACTAAAAAACTTAATATATAAATAACATGTTAATTATTGAGCTAAACAGTTTCCCCGTTTTTAGACTTTAAGATATAAGCTCCAAATATTCACATATTTGTCCACATTTGAACAAATTGCTGCAAGACAGGAAGAGATGGGTGGAGGTTGGCTAACTGTTCAGCCATGCATGAGTCCCGACTCACCGCCCCCACCGCTCTTGTTCTTTCTCCTTGTCTTTCTGGTGGCAGCTGAGCCCTGTGAAATCATTACATAGCATAATATCTACCAACAGCTTGCATTTTCAGCATGGGTGGGTCAGAAACAAAACTGGCATCAGACCCACACTCTGCCCACCGAACTAATTCCTCACAAGAGACAGTCACAATAGCAGTGAGGTCACTTTGAATGTAAATGTCATATTTCATGAAGAATACTCACAGCTGCATGATGGAAAATGATGTGATGTGATGAATGCCAAGAGTCATGAGTGTGATCAACCCAGTAAATCAACAGTGTGAAAGTTTGTTTGGGCAAAACGTTGATGTATGAGTGAGATATAATTTTTTAATGAGCAGTTTGGTGGATGCGTTTGTGTGAGACAGAGACAGACACAAAGAGAGAGGAGGGGGAATCTAAAGAATGACTGTGGGTCAATGTTCGTGTGACGAGCAGATCACAGTATTTGCAACGTCTAAATTTTTCTCTCAAACACAAACAAACAGCAGCACACCCGTCAAGTTCCGTTACTATCACTCACTTATTAGTTTTAATTATTATTCAGACAAAGTAAGCAAACTGCCATCTGGGCCTCTAGGAACTTACATGGCCATTTTTTTCTTAAAGTAGGCTACATAAATAAAACTCATTATTGTTTAAAATAGGCTCCATGAATCGATAAAGGAAATGATCATTAGATGCCACCCTATGTGAGTGATCTGCGATACCTGAAGGACACTGCAAATTGTAAAAAAGTGCAAAACCTTTTTTTTTATGCATAAAACTGTAATGTAAAATAAACTTACTTCCTATTGAAAGAGTCGCCTGAAAACAACACGATGAACACCAGTAATAAGTTGGTCACAGGCTCCAGTGATGTGTCACGTGATCGTGTTGGGGTCGGATACACTCACTCTGGATATCCTCTTCGGCAGATGTGACACTGTGATCTCAGACAGACCGGGACCGCACAATGATCCATCTCCTCTGCTGTCGACACGGCTGCTGCTTTCAGACAACTCCAGAGTGTCACGGAATAATTAAAGTCCTCAGTTCTTGATAGAAGAGCCGAGACGTCTCTTTTTTTGCCGCAGCAGCAGCAGCAGGATTGTTCGCCAGTTAAATTCTCATCGTTCTTCTTCACCAGTTAGACTCCTATCGTTCTAGTTTCTCCCTCAGTGGTCAACCACCAGCTCACCTGCAGAAATTAAACCATGAGATCCCGGGCTGCGCTTCCCCGGTAAGTCACCTCTATGTCAGGTTTGTCTGTGCATAACAGGGGGAATTTCAGAAGATAGAAGACGAAGTTGGAATATTAAGCAATGCCTTTAAATGTAATGTTAACATTTTAGTGCTGCAGTAAATAAATACTTTAACCCCTGAAATTAAAGAACCTAATGGCATTTCATTTAGGCTACTTGTTGCATTTGTTAGTGAGTTAAAAGATGCATGCTAAATATTTTATTAAGACCTTATTCTATCTCTGGCTCATTTTCCCATGACTCCTATACTATAAATTGTGAACCCATGTGTCAGGAGAGGAACAGGGAGGAGAAGTCTGTTTAAGATAAAACTAGCTAAAACTATGGCTTGTATCACCCCATATACATATCCATTTACAAAAATAAAGTCTATATTAGTAGAAGAAAATGTTATTCTGCCACTCTTGCAGGCTTTAAGGCCAATCCCTCAGGACACTTGAGGAATTTTCCACCAGAACCTAGTAAGGCCCGATCTTTGCCCTGTCTGACATTTTTGCAGCATTAAAAACAGTAGAAGTTTACAGCTGCCAAATTCCAGCCCAGATAGAAATTCCTTCCCTCATCTCCCATGCTTGTAATTATCCACAAAGTCCACGATGCTGGTCTTATAATGAGAATGTTTTTCATGCAGACGGTAAGAAGGGCCCCAGACTTCCGGTCGCTTTTATCAGAGCCAATTGAGATCTGCAAAATTCTGGGTCTCACTGTGAAAGAGTCAATCACACTTCACCTGATGTCTTCTTGTCCATCCACAGGTTTATCTCCCTCCTATTTCTTCTCTTCCTTCCTCTTGTTTTCTCCTCCTCCTCCCACCCCCAGTGGATTCTCCAGCGTGTCCCTGTGGTCCTCCCACAGCAAACGGAGGCACGACCAGCCCCTCACTTCCTGTCTCCGGCCCGCTTGGATGTCAGTTCCCCCTGTGACCCAGAATGCCACAAGAGGGCCCCTCGCCCGAGCTACTGGGATCTGCGGCATCTTCTGGCCTATGAGACACTCACCTCTAATGGTCAACTTACTGAGACTGCTATTGGGATCTATGGCTACAAGCCGACTTCTAACACCAGTCCTGCCTACTCCTCACTGTCGCCTGGGAAGGCTGAGCGGTCACGTGTCAGGAGAAAGCGACAGATCTTCGGTCATGATGGGCGTTTCAGCATCGCTGGACAGGACTTCCTGCTTAAATATCCATTCTCGGTGGCTGTCAAACTGTCCACTGGGTGTTCTGGGACATTGGTGGGGGACCGTCATGTGCTCACAGCTGCTCATTGTGTTCATGATGGTAAAAACTATGTGAAAGGAGCCCAGAAGCTTCGGGTTGGGTTTCTAAAACCCAAGCAACGAGACACACAGCCATCCTCCTTTTACCTTTCCTCCAACTTCACCAACCATGTTGAAGGTGGCCCTGCTCCTTACGCCCCACCAACCAACGACAAAATGAAGTTCCAGTGGATCAGAGCCAAGCGCACCCATGTTCCCAAAGGATGGATTAAAGGAAATGCTAATGATATTGGGATGGACTATGACTATGCTTTGCTTGAACTCAAGAAACCCCACAAACGCCGCCACATGAAGTTAGGAGTCAGCCCCCCGGCTCAGAAGCTGCCTGGTCGACGAGTCCACTTTTCAGGATTTGATAATGACCGTCCTGGTCAGCTTGTGTATCGTTTCTGTCGGGCCGGCGAGGAGACGTCAGACCTGCTGTACCAGCACTGTGATGCTCAGCCTGGTGCCAGCGGGTCAGGAGTCTATGCTCGGATGTGGGATGGGCGCCGCCAGCGCTGGGCACGGAAGGTGATAGGTGTGTTTTCTGGGCATCAGTGGGTGGAGCGACAAGGGGCATCTCAGGAATATAATGTAGCGGTGAGAATCACACCTCTAAAATATGCTCAGATATGCTACTGGATAAAAGGAAACTTTGTGGACTGCCGAGAGGGGTGAGGAGAAGGTGGAGAGTGAGGATGACAAAGGGGTGTGTAGCTACGAAACCATAGGCCCGCTACATCCTCATACTGCGGTCACAAGAATCCAAACCCCTTCCCCCCCACTTGTAGCACTGACATCAATATAAGTATCAACATGTTGTTTGTTGCCCCCATTCTCAGACATAAAACTGACAGACACAAATCCATTAATGACACTAAATTATGTAAACAGGGCGTGTTCATTTCATGTATGCTTAGTTTTACATCTTCAGTCACATTTCAAAAAATACAAAAAAGTTAGTTACATTGATGTTAACTGGGAAAACATTTAGGTCATGTGGTTTTGCAGAACAGAAGGTGGTTTATCTGCTTCTTGGAACATTTATCTGGATAACAAAGTTATCTGGAAGAACCACAGATCTGGAACATGGACTGAAATAAAACTTTGTTTTGGAACAACAGGCCCTCAGATTACAAAATACAGACTGTTGGGAAAACTGTTTCACTTCGCATTATAGGCTTTTTATTGTGCTAATACTAAAGAATGCACTGTTAAAACACGTTTTTCTGCTGAAAATTTTGATTTTTGTGGATGAATGTACAAGTCAGCTACCAAAGGTGCCAACAGTTTCTCTCCAAACTATCATGTATCTCCTCTCAGTGGACACACTAATTATCTACAAGCATAGTGTACTCAGCTAGCTAAATTAACACTGTTTTGGAAGAACATTCAACTTGTTACACAGAATGATATTAAATAATTGCAGCTGACTCTTGCTAAGGCTGCACATTACTTGTTATGTGAAGCACATTATGTTGAATGTTGTACTTTAAAGCTTAGCTCCCTCTGGTGGCAAAGATAAAAAATTGTAGGTGCAATGAACATTATGCCGACTTAGCCTAGGCCTACATAAGCACTTTTTACTTCTACTCCTTTAAGATTTATGAAATTGCATAATGTGTGTTTCAGAAAATAAAGACTGGGCAAATTTAATGAAATATATGCTTTGAAAAAAAACAATGGTGTCCCATTTTTCTTCTCAGGCTCTTCATAAAACATATCACACACACAATTGTTTCAACACCGTTTGTTTTATTTCAGATGGCAAAAAGCATTTTTAGAAATGCTGTGGCGGAAGTGAACACTGTAAAAAGACGAAATATATGAGGACCAGCTCCTAAGACTTCTCCAGCACCGACACACTGAATAACAGGTTCAACCATGACCCTGAAACTGCATCCTGGGATATGGCACATAGAAAACAAAATTTGCAACTTAATTTGCCAACTTTTATAATTAAGGAAACACAAGTAAGCTTCAATTTTAATTAAAACATGTCCCTTAAATTTAATGTAGGCTAAACGAAGATCAAGTGCACTTCAGGGCAATGTGATCAAGAAGTGATTAGAACCCAAAATATTTTCTAAATATTATTTATTCATCTCTTCTTCAGCTGTGATCTTATGGGTTTCACCAAACCAAAGAAAGCAGACAGAATGTGTGTTACTTGAGGAAAAACTTAACATTCAAGTATGAATTGACATGGACACAGGATTTAAAGCAAACCTTAAAATTTCCTCTTTTTGTGTTATTGAGATATGGGCAAGTTAAGGTGACATAGCAGAACACCTAATAAAACTGACATTTCTTTAATGGTGCTCCATTGAAGGCTAGTGCTACCAACTAAAAAAAACATTCAAGTCAATTCAAATCGACAGCAACATTTAGTTAAAAGTGGAAAATGGCCGCAAATAAAACATAAGTGGCAAGGAGCTGATTTCAGGGCCGAATTTGCAGACAAAGCAAAATAATGCACATGTACGGCTTTTGTTTATAATAAAAAACTCCTCAAACTTTACACTCAACCTGAAACTTGACTGAAGCTGTCAGATTTTAACCCAACAAAAAGGCTTTTCAAGTTGTACTGATTTCTATCTGAATACTGGACAGTTTATCAGGGTGACACTAATGCTTAATACTGCCCGAAGTTATGCACAAACAGCAGATTAGAGCTGGTGAACGAGAGAAGGCCCATTAAGAGAAACCTACTTGAGAGAAAGATGATGTTTGACAAGTGAGACTAAACAGAAAGGCAACAACATGTGAAGCAACCTGTTTGTAACACCATTCTGGTAACTGAGAATACACGAACTGGTAATGAGCTGTCTTCACCCTTTGATTTTCCCATGGAAATGTCACTATTAAACATCCCGTTATCAAATCCATATGAGAGCGTGATGACAATGACAAATATTTGCAGTGGAGAAGAGATTAGGTCCTTGGAGGTACCAACAGAAAACTATTATTACCCACATTTGTTCTGTTATCTACATCCAGTCCATAAAGACAAGGACAAGTGTCATCAATACCATTATGGTTTAAGCAGTCAAGCTCCATAATTGAATAATAAAATTAACAGGGACTGGGTGACCTTTAAGAGCACAAATGTGTCATACTCTATATCATAGCCAGGCCCGGCAGGGTTGTATAACAAGCTAAAAATACACAGGGTCAAACTGTTTTGTTTTTTCACATTTTTGAGTGTGCTTGGAGTTTAAGGATGCATACAGTACCTCAATCCCTTCTCACTTATTGACACCCTGCTCTCTAAGTTTGTAAAGACTGGTTCTGTAACTGCCCTCCAGATAGTCAATGATGACAAACAAGCAGACACTGATAGTAAAACACAGTAGCAAAGTGAATGAGGACAAATACAGCATTCTCTGCAGGGGCAGTGGATAAGTGTACCTAAGGTGTTTTTCCCAGTTTGTAGGAAAGATTTATTCCACTTTGTGGTAATAATCCACGATAAGGCTCAGTTTAAAGTAAGTTTGACATTTTTGGAAATACACTTACTTGTTTTCTGACGGCAAGTCAGAAAGGGAAAATGTATACCACTCACATATCTGCCTTTTAAATATAAAGCTACCACAGGTAGCTGGTTAGCCTATCTGGAAGCAAGAGGAAAGAGCAAGGTTAGCTCTGTTGAAAGGTTACAAAAACCTACTTATCAGTAACTCAAAAGTTCACTAATTAACATGTTATTTCTCCTTTGTTTAATTTGAACAGATATAATTATTTAATTATTTTGAGGTGGTGGTAGGCAGATTTTTTCTTTTGGGCAGAGCCAGGCTAGCTCCTTCCACGTTTCCAGTCTCTGTGCCAACTGTAAGCTAGCTATCTGTTGTCTTCTCATTTAACTCTCCACCAGAAAACAAAGCAGTGTATGTCCCAAAATGTCAACTTTGCTTTAAAATCACCAGGGAAAACATGCTGAAGATGTTGTGACAGTGTTTGTGTCCTGCTGCATCAGTTCCACTGGTCCTAGATTTAAGCTTTAGAAGCCCTCAAAGTTGAAGCAGCCCAATCAGGATTCAGGATCTCAAGTACATCTCTTTCCACTGCTCTGACTCGCTCATGTGGTTGAACTGACTGTAAGAAGACAAGTCCGTACTGTGATTGACCACCTACACTTAAAATATCTTTGGTGAAAGTCACCTCCTGGCATTCCCTGACTTCCCTGTCGCCTAGCAACAACATAACACAACATGCTAATGTCGTCAGTGTGGTAATGCCCGGCGTAACTCGAAATAGTATACAAAATAAATTTTTTTTTTTTTAAATAGGTATATATAAACATTGCATTAAAAATAGAACCGTATCAAAACACAATTATGAGTTCACAGTCTGTCCCTTAACCTCACAGCATGAGAGTTCAGCAACCCTCCGGTCTTCCACTTTGCCAGACCTCCACCCATCATCTCCCCTCCACGTCCAAAGTTCGTAGGTGAGGTCTTACTGTGAAGAGCCTTTACTGCGACTTGAGCCCCAAACTGTTGGAGGACAGAGGGTAGGAGTAGGCTTTGCCCAGCACAATGCGGTCTCGGAGCAGTTTAAAAAGGACATAGTAGTTGCAGCAGAGGATAAGGCCCAGAGACAAAGTGTGGTTCCAGCGCTCAGAGCGCAGCAGAGAGTATAACTGGTACAAAACCACACTGGACTCGATCCAGATCAGCAGGTTCAGAATCCGCAATGGCTTGTGGAACAGGAACTGGAAGACGAGACAGACAGGAAGAAAAGATCAGAAAAGGAAATAATAACAGAGCACACAGAAGTTCAGAGCTAAAAATATTTAATATGCAGGGAGTGGACACTATAAAGTGACTACAGATGAGCGCAACCTTATTGGCCATTGAGGTACTTTCGTAACACTTTGTCTAAAAGAACAAACAACTGCACTTCTGTTGGAGAAAGATGTGTTCACCGTACTTCCGACAGAATATGGTAAGATTAATTTACCAATTACTCTACAACACATTTTGTAGTGTAGGATTGTGCCACTTGCTTTTACTTTTCTGCGTGTAGCAGCTGTAGGTACAGCGTAACCCCTTAAGTTAGTATAAATCCAGCTTAACTCATTAAATATGTGGCTGTGTGATAAAAGTCTACTTTCTGCTGGTGTTAGCAAGAGCTATCTTTATTGCACGTGAGGCAGCACTTTTTCCACTTTAATACGCTGCAAGGAGTCATGGTGTCCTAACTATTTTGTCCTCTCTGAGCATTTAAGTGAATAATGTACAAGTAACATCCACTGTCACTATGGTATAAAGTACAAATACTCACATAAAACCTTGCATGGGAAACATCAGAGGGCAGAGCAGTATTATAGGGTCCGACTGCCTTATACAGACATCGACTGTGTCGTACCAACACCCCCTGAGGCCAAGTGGTACTTTCTGACCACCTGCAAAACACATCAACACCACAGTTATTCACAAACCATTAACAGTCATGTTTTAAACCTCTGTGTGTGTACAAATATGTGCACCGATGGGCCACTCACACATGCTGAGGCGCATTGCTGTACGAGCCATGCTCCAGTTTCTGCCAGCGGCCCAGGTGAGCCGCCGAGCGGTGAAGCAGGTCGCAGTAGCTGGGGGGCAGCAGCTGACTCATCAGCATCACAAACGCATTGATCCACACCATGATCAGATGCTCACATGACCAGCGCATGTCATAGTACTGGGTGCTCTGTGGAAATGAAGGCAGCTAAAAGTTAGCAAGAACACAGGCAAGACTGTAGGCAAATTGAGATGTACTGAAGGGATTGTGGAGCATGAAAACCACAAGTGTCAGATACCAACCTTGACAAAGCAGAGAGGCAGGAAGGCTACGTAGTAAGCACTGAACAGCGAGTTGAATAGCACTTCCTTGATTCGCCGGTTGAAGTCGCTCTTCAGCTCCTCCACCTCTGCTCGAATTAACTCCGGTGTGTGCGATTGTGTGTGTGGTGGGCAGGTGTGAATAGGCATGTGCGTGGTGCTGGAAAACTGCTCTCTGAGGTTCTCTCGTAACAGGAAGAGGAAGTCACGTGGTCGAAAGAATGGGGTCTCTGTTAGTTCAGTCTGCGAGTGGTCGGCTGGGTAATCACAGTCCGCTGGTGCCGTTTGACTTTTCCCTCCCTCCTGATGGAAACAGCAAAGCGGGACGTACACACCAAATCTGGCATTGAAGGATGGCGGTAGGTGACGAGGACAAAAGAACAGGGCAGCGAGTTTTAGTGTCAAACAATGGCAGAAACAAAAGGAGATGCGTGAAGCAAAAACATTGTGCATATTTAAAATGTTGAGACACATTAAAAGAGTGTGGGTCCACAAAGTCCATTTCTATTAGCACACACATAAAAAACAAAACAGACCAACAAACATCAACATGCTCACTATAAACAGCTTAATGTATTGCTATGACTGAGCAGCTGTGTGAATCATTTATTTTGAAAAGGTTATTATCTAGAAAGACACGTGGTGGCCTAAAGGAAAAATCTCATTAGCTTAAGTGTTGTGGTTTTTGTTCATGCTGATAAATTTAGGTTTTTCCTTCACCACTGTTGTGCTAATCAGAGTATTGTGGGGTTCCTGTACGTCAAGAAAAGTAGCCAATTATTAGGGGTAAACCCAAATAGTTGAAAATTTGATGCTTGGACGGGCGGAGCCTGATTTCACTGTCAATCTCGTTATGAAAGTAGGATCATACCTATCTGGCTATATGGTGGAGTTCAATGTCTCATTTTACATAGAACTACTGTTTTTCTCCCTGTAAGTTAATATACAGCCTATTATGGATAAATTTCAACATATAATGCTGTAAATAAAAATGTGAAAAGAAAGAAGATTTTAATAAATCTTTTTAAAGTGCGTGAATTAATCCAAAATTTTAACCCTATGGTAGAGGGCGTTGGCTGCGCTTCTGCTGGTGTTGTGCCGAGTTGTCTGCACCTCGCGGGACGTTCGGATCATTTATCACCATTGATGAACAACACAAAGAATAGTATATCGTTTTTAAACTGGTGGAATAGACCCACCGCACGGCATGATCGTAAAACTCTGTATAAGACCGGTGAATAGCAGGCGAGCAGAAAGAAAAGGGTCAACAATAAGGCTCCGTTTACTGTAAAAGTACAGTGTAAGTTGCAGTGAGTAATGAACAGAAACTATCTCTGCAGCTTCTCAAGATTAAAGCAGAGCTACCGTGTGTTAAAACCCCCCACACTTCTGCTTTGAGACATGGTCTACTGACAAGTTGTACAATATTATCTTGGCATTTAGATGAAGACTGTTGTGGGGGTATTAAAGACTCACGGGTATCCCAGAAAGAGCAGGTTGAGCACAGAGTTGGTCTTGTAGAGGTTGACCAGTGTCCAGCACAGCACCCAGCCACACATGGTCAGCAGGCTGAGGCGAGCAGCGATCAGAACCACATAGCGGAGCAGTGAACCGCTGCTGCTCTGAGACACCTGGATGAGACAGACGACAGCATATCTTAGTTAACAGAAAGACTGTTGCACTGCCATCAGAGGGGTTTGAGTCCCACAGGAGCTGTGTGTACTAAAATGTGTTAGCTGATTGTATAGGTATGTGTGTTTACCTCTGACACTATAGTCCAAACAAGCCTCCTGGCCAACATGACTGTGATGAAGATAGCCAGGTGGTAGTCCATTAGATGAAAGTTCTGCAGGGGCAAACCAGAATTTTCAAATACAAAGGAGAAAAAAAAGCATTAATGTTTTCCATGAAGACATTTTTAAATTGTACATATTAAGTTTGACCGGAAGCTGCCCAATAAAAATCAGTTGTGTTACGTTATGAGCTCAAAATAAAGCGTTGGTGTATGCAGTGGCTGAATGGATGTGTTTAGCCATTTTCACCAGAACTTATTTACTTATTTTTAATAGAGCAGGCTGGTTCTTAAAAAAAAAAAAAAACCACACACAACAAAAACACAACAGATTCCAGATCCATTCTTAAAGAACAGAGCTGATGGTGTGTGTTCTTACAAGCGAGGTAGAGGCAGCAGGGTGGCTGTATGGGTACCACCACACTGTCCTGTAGATGTTTATGTACTGGACAAACAAGGCCACCAGCAAATAAAGAAAGAGCAGGAACTCAAACAGCAGGCTGCTGTCCAACGGCAGCTCGGGGATCTTCGAGTGACGGACTGGCTCTGGAGTAATGAGGGCTGAGAGCGGGGGAGCAGACAGACCCACCGAGTTACTGCTCCTGAGAGAAGACATACACAAACTTAATACAAACACTCAGAGAGATGTAACTTTGATGTAGAGTGTGTTGCAGGTTTTACTCCATTATTTGTTTAGGGATTGGAATGTCACAATTGTGGAAAGGTGAGTCCAAGGTGATTTGTTCAAATGTCTTTTTCTGAGGAACAGTCCAAAACTCAGATATTCAGTTTACGATTATATAAAATAGAAAAAAAAGCTAATCTTCACAGATGAAAAACAGGAACCAGAGAAACAATTCATTGATTATCAAATTCAAATTTGACAATTTACTATTGTTCTTTCGTTCGACTAATAAATTAAATTTAGAATGACCAAACTAAGATAAGTTAAGACTAATTTAAATGATTTAAAGATTAAGATTTCTGAATGACATGCAAAATATATAGGTAAAAACAATGCTACAGCATTTTTGAAGCATGTCTAAATATAGTTTCTCAAACAATTTCCACCTACGTGGACAACAAAGGCTTACAGTCACAAGATCTACACTGTAAATCAAGTGTTGGTGTACAAATCTTCAAAGTGTGGGTTATCAGGTGAAACCATTTAAATTCATCACCTGTTCCTGAGGCCTGTACCATTGCCAAGGTTGCCTCCAACGAGAGTCTGCAGGGATGGCAGAGCAGAGCGACTTAGTTGCTGTCTGCTGGGACCCCTGCGACCTCCTGGCATGGTCGCCAGTTACCGTGGCAACCAGTGACGCCGCCCACCAACCAACAGGTGCTGCAACTCCTCTCCTTTTCCTCAATAAGCCACCATGTATAGCCAGGCCACTGTGGAAGAAAACAAAAGACAAGACTGAGTAAAAACAAGAACAGTAAACCGATCATAAAAAACCCCAAAAAATAACAACTCCGGTAGAAACAAGGAACAAAAAACCAACAAGCCTGAGGCCTGATCAATATTTACAGTACTACAGCCTGTAGTCAAATTACGTACAACGTACCATGGTACACTACACATGTAATAACTGCAGTGAAGTTAATTATGGATTATTTCCAATGAGGTACTTCTCAGTTCTATTTTGGGGTTTTTTCCTTCACTGATTTTATTTGTTATGTTTTCTTTGCTGTCCATATCAAGTTTATTTGTCAGTCAGCATTATAGCGAAATGTCTCGTAATCATTAGCTATCTGAGAGGGGACATAACTAATGCTTAGGTTTCTAGTATACCTTAAGGGTATATTAACATATTCAGAGTATCTTTAAATTGAATGTGTTTAACAACACATTTTGCTTGAAGGGAATGTGATTTACTGTGGAAATGTTTGCAAAACTTGCAGTGTTCATGCTACGCACAACAATGTTAACATACTGTGCCTGAAACAACATTTTATACCTCCAGATCTTTATTGATGTTGAATAATTTGGATTAAAAGCAGCAAACAGATATGGTGGCGTGTCCTTGAAAAGGCCACAACAACTATGAAATAGCCTTACTAGGTCAAATTGGTTTGGTGTGTGAAATCTGTTTGCAGCATGAGAATCTGCTGCATTTTCAAACATGCAAACACACCCATGTTTATTCAAAGATCAAAAAAAAAAAGAAAAAAGGATGGACTCAGCACCAAATAATTTGTCTTGTTTAGCACTGCTTTAGTCAGTCCTTATCAAACCTACTTCACATTAAAGGCATGACATGTTATCATGACATAAACCATGTCAGTGGTACATTTCAACCCTCACAAACCTGTCAGTGTTTACCCCAGGAAATTAGCCAGCAGAGGTGGTGAGCAACCCATTTCTTGTTTTATGATCAATTTACTTAGTGGATGATAAAAAAACAACAACAGAAACACTCATTAAATGTATTGCATTTGTTGAAGGGCTGCATGATAGGGTAAAAAATAAAAATCACATTACAACAATTTAACAGATATTATGATTTGCGATGATGACTCCCGATCAGGGGGAATTTTCATTTTCACTGCAAAAAAAAACTATTAAAACCATGATGTGACAAACGTGTTTTCTTACATCTAGGCATTGCAGCCCTACAGTACTTAATTATAATGCCATTTTGTCACACATTTTACATTTATCAAAATATTGCCGTTTGCACTATTTGAATATTGCAATTTCGATAATAATTCGATTAATTGTGCAGCCCTAGGGCTGTCGCGATAACTGCAATCGTGAAATAAAGCGCTATTGACAAGCCAATCGCAGTGGATGGCAAGCAGCCACAACAACCGCTATATTCACACCTTTCTGTTTTACACTCCAGTGTGTGCTTCAAAAATTCGACAAGCAATATGAGTGCCGTAACTGTTCAAGCGTAGGGACTGTCCGTGACCTGATTTCAAACTTAGTAGATGTAGGTTTTGCCACGTTTTATGCTGTTTCACCGTTTATTTTGAAGGTTAGCCAACTTGGCGACAATCTAATGAGTGTGTCTGTTGTTTTTTTTATCATTCACTAACTAAATTTTGCTATACTAAAGTTCCACAAAGTGCAGTTGTTAACATTATATGGAAGCCCATTCTGCTCCACACCGGCATGTGTGTTCATGTGAGAGAGTGTGTGTGCGTTGCTGCTGTATGTAAATGTACTTGATAGACATGCCCTGAATGTAATGATATAACTACGTGTGAAAAAGACATGGTCAAACTGCAGGAATTCATTTGCCTGGTAATGTAACTTTGACTAGCACCCAGCAGCTAGCTGTCTCAGATCATAAAGCTGCAGTTAGTGGCTTGCTGGGCTGTGAGGTGAGATCCACAGATACATATTATTGCAGTAAGTGACTTAGTTACAACAATAAATCACAGCAGGGGAAATTTCTGCACCATGACAACTCTACGCAGCCCTAATTTGTTGTATAAAATATCCTTTGCTCTTATGTTCTGAATGGCAAGGTTTTATTTCATAAAAGTGAATTAATTTGTTAGAGGTTGATTCTTTCAATACACCATAATTAAATACATTCTGGTTTCCTTAGCCATTTGTGACAGTAAACTGAATTTCTGTGTGTTCTGGACTGTTGGTCAGACAACAAACTTATGTTGGCTTTTGTGAGGTGTTACCTTATGATTGTTTTAAGGGTGTAGCTCGTATCAGACAGTGACACACCTCTCAGTATATTGCAAGACAGCTCTACCACAAACTACAGCCTCTGAAATGATCACACAGTTGAATCAACACCTCTTTGAAACTGCTTCAACATAAACTAAACATTATAACCTTCATGAAGGTAGGATTTGTGACCGGAATAGACTGTGTTAGTTTTAGCTAGCTGTACCTGATAAACTGGCAAATGAGTGTACATAAACTGACTAAGTAATTAGCTATGCCCCGGAGGTTTCACCTCATAGAAACAGTTCTACTTATCACCAACGCCACCAAATCGGAGAACCATCCCAATGCCTTCCTTGTGGCAACACTCCGGGCTAATGTCAAACCACTGCTTAAAGTAAACAGAGCGGTCACCAATCTACACCTTATCCAGAGTATGAAACCTGCTTAAACTCACATGGGGAAACAATCTCTTGGAGGCGTTTGTAGAGGCACGCATATATCTAGATGAAATTACTAGTGAGGAGTATGTTTTTTCCATTCAGTGCTAGAGCTGACAGCAGACACTTTATATAGAACAGTTTTACATGTCCACTGATACTAAGTGACAGCCTGCTATCCAAAACACTATCTGAGGAGGATACCTCAACCTCTTCTCAACTCCCAGACTCCAAGTTCAAATCAGTACTTGCATCCTTTCTAAATGCTGATAATAGGATAACTTGTCATAGCAGGAAGCACAGGTGTAACATACATACACTAATAAATATATATATATATATATATATACATACATACATACATACATACATACACACATATACACACACACAATAATGGCTCTTCAGTTATGCCGGTGAGCCAGCATAAACAATACTGACACTCCTACATGGTCTGCAGCCATTAATCGTTTCGTTATTGATTACACCTGGGCTTCTCCTGCTTCCACATGTCAAACCAACTGTTATAAGAAACACCAAACTGCTTTCGTTGTTTGTCACTGGACACATAATACCAATTTCATACTCATTATCTTTTATTGTAAAGATGAAGGCCTTTTTAAATATTTTTTTGTTTCCTCAGTCACTGTGTTGTTTTTTTTAGACCAAACATATCTGCTTTTCTATTCACAGTGTCAATGTTTTATGTGTATAGATTGTTTTGATTAATCAGATTGGGCTATTATAGTTGCCTAGAGCCTTGTTAATAAAAAGACAATTGGCATTATGTGATACCAAGTTTATAATGGACTAATTTAATTTGAAGAAAATACAAATACATTCTCAGGATTTAGCCACTCATGTTGTATTTAAAGTGAATATGATTGGCTTTTGGACTGTTGGTCGATGAAAACATGCAATCAGAAGACGTCATCCATCTTGGGAAACATTATTCACTGTTAACTGACATTTCAGATGTATCAGTAATGAAAATCATTGTCAATTGCAGCACAATTATGTTTAACACACTATAGAAAAGATTTATTTAAACTGGAAGTTAATCAGAACTTAAATCCTGAATCCTTGATAAATATTTTCTAAATGAATGTATGCCGATTTCTTTTGTATGTTCAAGGTTGGTATGACATGACCAGTTAATTTGTTTCACAGCAAGATGTTTTAAAATTTTAAAAACTACTTGCTACAGTGCAAGCTGAGAGAACTAGGGCTGCAACAAACGTTTATTTTCATTAATAGCTCAACTAACCGATGAATCATTTTACCTTAAAAAACAACTGCTGAAAATGTCCGATGGACTTTCCCACAGCCCAAGATATTCAGTTTATTATCATATCAAAATTTTTACTTGAAAAGTGACAGAAACCATTAATCAATTATCAGTTGCCTATTAATTGAATAATCAATTAACCTAAAGAGAAACATTGTTAAGCTTATTGCAGATGGCTGCATCCATCTCAAGAGATTAACTCCTGATACATGGTACAGCTTTTGACTTATCGGCTACAAAGTAGACTTGAATCTACACGACAGAAAAGTAATTGTCATTTAATTTGGTAATCAATCATTTTTTTAGGTTCCAGTTCTCAAATGTTAGGATTTGGTCTGGTTCTTTGTCTTGTATGATAGTAAACTGGATATTTTTGGATTTTAGACTGCTGGTCAGACAACGCAAACACTCTGGAGATGTCAACTGAACTCAGGGAAATGGTGGTGGACATGTCACTATTTTCTCACACAAGCTAATCCTACTGATTGATTTAGCAACAAAATAAGCCTCAGATTAATCTATAAATGAAAATAAAGTCCCATCTGTGCTAGTACAGTTGTAACAGAACTCTATAATAAACCATTTGGTAAAATGTGGTTGATTCAAAACGTACAGGGCCTAATTTATCTTTTCACCACTGCTCTGTGGGTAAAAAAGTCCCGCCCACTTCATCAGCCAGTGATAAGCCCTTTACACGAAACACAAACCAGTGCCAGATAACATCCATCCAACCTCAGATTGTATCAACATTTCCTTTATGCTGATATGGCTTATGATATATGATGGAGGTGATACTACAGCACTGTCTGTGGCCAGTGTGAGGGTCCAATATTATAAAGCTGAATCTTCAACAGGAAACAACCGTTATCACACACACACACGCGCGACTAAAGAGACAAAAAGTGAAAAGAAGTAAAAACAGGAACTGTGAAATAGAGAAATCAACTAAGTTACAGTGGAGTGATTGCGCGACGGTATATTGAAATTTTGTAGAAGTGCAACACGTTTATAGTTTTTACCTCACCACAAGACCTCTTGAAAGTGCTGAAAAAGCGACCAAGCAAGAAACTGGAGAAAGGTGTGCGAAAATGAAGTTGCTGGTGGGTTTGTTGGACTGAGGCACTTTGTTATGTTATAAGGTGGGCTTTTTTCCTTTTTACAGAGACTTGCTAAGACATGCACTGAAGCTGCCTGTCTGAATTATAACATCAGGCAGCGTTGTCATTTTGTCCACGGCAGAAACTTGGGAGCACTCAATTTTAACAAATACATTAAAAATAGAAAGGTGTAAGCTTGTAGCTAGCAGGCAGCTCGCAGATACAAAGCTAAATAGTTTAAAAAGCTCTCTAAAGCCACAGTTACTCACACAACATCGACAACATACGCGGGGGTGAAGTGAACGAGGATGCATCAGTCAGTTGTGTGGCGTCCAGACAGAACCGAGCATTTCTCCGCCTTCCAGCTTCAATATGCCCGACTGCACTGGTGTGACGACGAGCTACGGCGGCACCGGCGAAGCTGGAGGGTCGCTTTCTCTCCGGCTGTAAACATAAAACGGCTTTAAAAGTTAGCACTGGGCTTTGGGAGCAACAGTGTAAGTGCGTTGCACAGAGACCGACGTGGCAAACCCGCACCTCCTCTCACTGCGACGTCATCAGAGCGCGACTTAAAGGAAGACTGCACAGTCGCAGTGACTAAACAAACGAGCAGCTGGTCTTGAGTCAGCGCTGCTGTCATCCTCCCAACTTTTCTTAATGATTGTATTAAAGATTGAATTAATTATTAATTAAAAAGTACTGGTTACCAAAAGAATATAGAGTGTGTGAACGACAGGTGAGCTGGAGACAGAGACGCATTTTGTCCTGAAATTTCATAAATATATTAGAACATTTTGAGAAATTCCATCTATTAATTCTAGATTTCAAAGAACTTGAAGATTAACAATAAATTAAGAATAATCCTAGGAAAGTACAGACGACAAACCTTTCCGCCAAGTATGTGGCCCTGTGTCACAACCTGAGGGGCAGCCACTGCCAACTGTGGCAAGTTAGGCTACATATTGTACACTTTTATTTGTAGTTTATGTTATATGTGTATTTGCTTCTTTTTTTAAAAACTTATAACTGCTTAATTGAATGGTATTAAATTTTGTTTCTTGTTTTATCTGATATTCACATGTAAACCTTTTGATTTTGTTGCGAATTGCTTTGGCAACATTGTTTAACTTAAACATTCCTGCCAATAAAGCATATTGAATTGAACTGAACTATCAATGACTTTAACTAGCAGATAACAAAATAACCAAATGTAACTTGCTGAAGGAGCTTATAGGCCTACACATCATTTTACTAACCACTCTTATTGGGAACACCACTCAGTTGCTAGTTTAGGTCAAATTAATGCAAACAGTTCTGCAATAAATGCTACCTTCATCAAGGTTATAATGTTCAGTTTTTGATTCAGCTTCATTTTGGAGGCTGTAGTGCTGTTAAAAAATAAAGCGAGGTGTTTCTGATATTTAGTCTAGCTTCACTGATATAAATAGGTAAAGAAAACATTAGAAACACAACACCACAAATTACACCCTCCAAAATGATCTAAGTCTTTGGCTCTTTTGTTTAGCTTCTCTATAAATGTCAAAAAATATAGTGAAAAGTGCCTAAAATGTCCCGGAGCTTGTTTTAATTGACCAACAGCTCGAAACCCAAAGAAATTCAGTTTATGACCATATTAAGCAAATCCTTACATTTAAGAGACTGGAACCAGCTTGAAAAAATTACCAACAATCAATCACTTACTAAAATTGTTTCCAGCTTTTTTTTGTTGATCAACTAATCAATTATTAAACTAATCCTTTCAGCTCTACTCAGAAATACGACTTGAGCTGCTCTGTTAGACAGTTCACCTCTGTTGTGACAGCAGACCCTACTACTATCAAGAGTCTTGTGAAACTAGGTTATGGTTATAATAACAGAGTTCTGAAAAGAGGTATAAAGTATTCTTTTAACAGGGTCTATAAAGAATAGAAACCAATTAAGTATAGGCTATTTTAAGGTTCTGAATCTTGCGATTCATTCATGCAATAGTTTTAATTTGGACTTTGTGCGTTTAGTATTTGTGTTGTTTGTCATGATTGGCTCTCACCCGTTCACCTGACTGCTCCATATTCTTGCATGCTTAACCTGTTGTTTCTGTTGTTTTTTACAGTTACACACACACACACACACACACACGAACACACACCCACACACACTTTTGTTTACATTCTCATGGGTTGGGCCAAATATTGATGGCTGCTGGCTACTTTTCAGTTTTGATAGCCAGCTATCAACACACTGACAGTGATGGTTTTGTGAAATAAAGGCTTCACTTCGTTAAATAAAAAACCTTTTTGTTCTACATTAGGCCTTGGCTCAGAGTCTCAAAACAAACTATTGTCTGTATCTGCTCTGCATGTGCAATGATGATGTTCTCATTGTAAAATGTGTCATGCAGCTCCCAAGACAAGATAATTGTGTTTTGAAAACTTTACACCCATTACTGAAGTCAAAGTCTAAATGGTAAGTAGAACAATAAACAGTTTTGTTATACCCCAAAGGAAAAAATGTTTATTAATAAACACACACACTTTAATTCCATGTGTAAGAGATTTTTAGTTCAATGTGTATTTCTGAAACACAGTGATATTAGCAAAAGGGGAAAACAGAAACCAGGTAAGTTTCTAGAGCTGTACACTGAAAAAAAATAGAAATACATTTTCATATTGTGCTGCCACTCATAATTTACAAAGATAAAATGAAATAAAGCAGGAAATATTCCCATTAAAGAAGCTGGAATCAGATAATTTTTCTTAACAAATGACTCAAACCGATTATCAATTAGTTGCCGATTAATTTAATTGTTGACAACTAATCGATTATTTGTTGCAGCATGCAGTTTGAAAATATCCCATAATGACCGATTGACAGGTGATCTCTGTGCAGTGAAGAAATGCCACAACAATCAGCTCTCAGCAACAAACATGAAGGCAAAATAAGTTTAAGGGTTAAAACACAGAAGTGTCCCTTAAATGACTTCTGACTATTTGACTTTACAAAACTTTGCACTGTCTCCAGAAGAATTAAGATAAAGCCAAAGTCCAGCATAGAGAGGCTGAGTGAATGTGGTCTGGACTCTGTGGAGACCTGGTTTCAGAGATGCTGTAGAAGGACAGAATACCTGCACTGTGATCCAGGTACACTCCTACTCTGGAGGGTTGAGGTGCTGAGAGAGGAGTTTGGACATTGTTGTACCAAAAGTTACAACCGTTGCCGTCAAACTTTAACGCCCAAGATTTGTCATTCAATCCAAGTCCACATTCAGTCGTACTCCCTGCTCTGCTGATGTTCTTGTAAGCGACTGCTACACAAACTCCTGCATTCCCTCTCCAGTCAGACTCTCTCTACTCAGGACCAGCAAACACAAAGTAAATCTGTCTGGGTGACGAGAGTAAGGCTGTTGTTCTCTCATATATGTTGATTTTCTGTTCCTATCAGATAATAACAGCTTGTTGCTTGCTGTGTTTGGATCCAGTGTGATTTCACGTGAATATTTTAAGAATTCAGCTGGTCTGGTCTTGGGCTCTGTTTGTGGCAGTAAAACACCCACTTCAGTCCCCGTCAGTGAGACGTTTGTCCATTTCTCACTCAGAACATCCTGTAGTTTATCTCTGACTTCTGACACGGCCGCTTTCACATCATCAAAGTAACGCTGAGGACGAATATTGAGGCTGGATGTACCTGTAGATTCAGTGAGTGCTGACAGTGAGGGGTAGTTGTGTAGAAACTGTGTGCGATCCTCTGTGTGTGAGAGCTGCTTCAGCTCAGCGTCTTTCCTCTTCAGCTCAGTGATCTCCTGCTCCAGCTTCCCCTCAAGTTCTTTGACTCGACTCACTTCAGTTTCCTGCTGGGATCTGACCTGCTGCTTCACATCAGAGCTTCTTTTCTCCATAAGACGGATCAGCTCAGCGAAGATCTTCTCACTGTCTCCCACTGCTTTATCAGCAGAGCGATTGATAGCCTTCACCTGTTGCTGAAGCACCTTCACATCTTTCTCTCTGTCCTTGATTCTCTTCTGGATGTTCACCTCGAGCTCTCTCTGCCTCTCAGTAGTTTCTGCTGCAGCTGAGACTGTGTCTTTGCCTTTACGTTCTTCCACAGAGCAGAGATAACAGATACACAGCTGATCAGTACGGCAGAACATCTTCATCACCTCATCATGACGAGAGCAGATGTTCTCCTGGAGCTTCTTGGAGGGCTCCACCAGCTTGTGTTTCTTTAATGGAGCTGCATCATAATGAGGCTTCAGGTGTTTCTCACAGTAAGAGGCCAGACAGACCAAACAGGACTTGAGGGCTTTCAGTTTTGTCCCAGTGCAGACATCACAGGCCACATCTTCAGGTCCAGCATAGCAGCGATCAGCAGGAGCAGCTTGGAGTCCAGTCTTCTTCAGTTCCTCCACTAAAACTGCTAACATGGTGTTTTTCAGCAGGACAGGCCTCGGCGTGAAGCTCTGCCTACACTGAAGACAGCTGTGGATTTCCTTCGCGTCATCTACATCCCAGTGGGTTTTAATACAGTTCATGCAGTAGCTGTGTCCACAGGGAATAGTCGCCGGATCCTTCAGGAGATCCAGGCAGATGGAACAAGAGAAGGTTTCCCGGTCCAGCTGAACTAATTTCTGCGCCATTTCACCTCTCAGTGGAGCTCTGATCCAAACAGCTTTTGTTTCTGCAGTGAACGGGGCCTGTCATCTCCAGCACCTCAACACATGTTGGTTCCACACGTCTTCAAACTGTAGATCTGAAGAGGAGGCAACACGGAAATATAATTTACGGACAAAGTGGAGCTCACTGTGTTTGAGAGCATTAATCCCCTGAAAAATTGGGAGATATAATCGCAAGAGTGACGAGCTGATTTTTCCTCAGTGAGAATGTTAGTCCAATACATTTTTACAAGAATACAACAATTTACAAGGAGAGAGCACACACACTATTCAAGTTACAGTAATATTCACAGTATTTACCTAAGATAACTATGTACATTAGCTCAATTACTGTACTTAAGTACAAAATCAAGGTACCTTTAACTACTACTACTTTAACTTTACTATTCAGATCACAGATAATACTATTACAGTTCAAACTAATCAGTAAAACATAAAGGAAACAATGAAAACCTTTTGTTATTTTAACACTTTTTTCAACATGTGACTGATTTTAACAGATGTTTGATTTCACAAATTATTCATTACAATAGTTCAAACTGCCTATAATTCATGAAAGACAGATATGCTAATCACTGCTGTAAAGATGATGAAACTCCAATAATGTAATAAAATATAATGAAACTATATTATTGTAAGTTATAAGTTACTTGTTCAACTCTGAATCCCACAGGATATGACTATATAGATGTTACTAGGCTGCAGCCTTTCCCCTTTATATCTTGTTGTAGACTGTACTAGGAAGCTTTTAGTGGACAACTGAAAGACTTGACATGATGCCACTTTGCAAAATAAATAAATAGGCGTGTTTTTATTGTATACTATTCTCTATATTCTGCTAGAACCTGAACTCTTAAACAAATAATTGTTGTCACAGTTGGAGCATAGGATTAGCATAACATGCATGTGTTGTTCAACACAAACTCTGATCCAACTCAAACAATGTAACTGCCAAGTCACACAAGTTACAAGTCACACAAACTAAAGATCTATAATTAAATATGAAAGGAACCTGTTGGCAAAAAAACTTTTATTAAAGCTGAACAATTTGCTCTCTTATATGTGTGTGTGTGTGTGCAGTGAAGACTTGAACTGGTCAGCAGGATAAGCACTGCGTTTGGTTGAAGAACGTTCTAGCTGTTCATGGTCTTGGTTCATGGCGACAGGAACATTTTGGGATACTAATTGTAGCGGGGTTAATTGTAACTAATTGTTTACAACATGCATTTAGGCTGAAACGGTACACAAAATTCCTGGTTTGGTACGTACTGAACATTTAAGTCATGGTCCAGTATGATTTCGGAACAGTGGAAATGGTCCCAGCGATGTAGCTATTATGCACTACATAGAATACAATAACTTTTTTTCTATGTGAACAGGAGATCATTTTATGCCTCAGTGTAGTGCTGTTGAATTATGCTGCATCATACTGAGAGGTGTTTCTAACATTTAATCTCACTGATGGGTGAAGAAAACACAGCACCACAAACTAAAGCCTCCAAAATGACTATCAAGTGGAATCAACACCTCTTTAAGACAGTTTCAACAAAGGCTAAATATTATAAACTTCATGAAGGTAAGATTTTTTGCAGATTTAAGTTAATTTAAGTTTCACCACACTGTGCCTGATGAGATAAACTGGCAACTGAGTGTAAGTCTGTTCACATTTGTACGTGGAAACAAATTGTAACTTGATGAATGATGATGGTTCTTTTGTTTAGCTTCTCTATAAATGTCTGAAAATATAGTGGCACATTCAGATTTCTTGTTTGTTTTATTAGTTTATTACCATAATAAGCAAATCCCCACATTTGCTGGGACCAACTTGTAAAAATGCAATCAATCAATTATTGAAATTGTTTCAAGTTAATTTGAAACAAGTTTACTAACTAATCAGTTACTTTCAGCACTACTCACAAATACGACTTGAGCTGATCTGTGAGACAGTTTGCCTCTGTTATGACAGCAGACCCTACTAAGGTCAATAATCTTGTGAAAGACTCTTAAGCTTTCCCAAGAGTTAAGGTTGTATTAACAACAAGAGAACAGTTATACCCCGTTGTCAAAATTTGAAAAATAATTATTTTAATAGGGTCATAAAATAATAAAGAATTTCTTAAACTGTTGATTTTGAGTGTCATACACACCACACTTTTGTTTATATTTGGATGTTTTGGGCCAAATGTTGATAGCTGCTGGCTACTTTTGAGTTTTGAAAAAAAAAACAAAAAAAAACAAAAACACACACATTATGCCTAGGCTCAAAGCCTTAGAAAACATTACACTGACTTGCCTGTATCTGTTCTACATGTGCAATGTTGATGTTCTCTAAATCGTACTGTGTCATGCAGCTACCAACACAAACTTTGATTCTAGGTTTAAAGTTTTCCAAAGTTCAAATGATAATTAGAACAATAAACATTTTTGTTATATGCCAATGGTAAAGCATTTATAATTAATAAACACATACTGAACACAGTAAAAAATAAAAATAAAAAATCTAAAAACATCAATAGACGTCAACAACTTTAATTTCATGTGTAAGTGATTTTTAGTTCAAAATGTACTTCTAAAACACAGGGATACTAGCAAAAAGGGGGAAACAGAAATTTCCAGAGCTGTACACTGAGAAAAAAAAAAAATAGAATTACATTTTCATAATTTGCTGACAACCATAATCTATAAAGAAAATTTTTTTTACTTTGGGCCTGTAACATTGTTGACTTTACTTAATTTCTAACAGCAACACCCTGTAACTTGCTTATTTACACACAGTGTTTGCAGTTCTTTATAAGAAAGTGTAAATACTTCATTCATCTTTTGTACAAAGGTTTAAAAACACAATCATTTTCTGAACAAAGGCTAATGTTAATGCTAAACAAATACACTCTAGTTACTTCAACTCATCCAGGAGATATGAAAGACAACTATTTACAAAAATGATAAAGCTACAAAGTAATTTCCGCACTCACAAGAATCTATTCATATTTATGTGGGTTTAAATAGCTCTAGGTTAATGATATAACAATTGTGATTTGTTTATTTACTGGCCCTGAGAGTTATTTATTCAACCTATTATGGTTGGATAAAAGAATTACCTGTGTAACTGCTGAACAAAGATTTTTAATAGGAATAACATCAATTTAAAGCCTCATATGAGAATAATATAACAGGGGGCTTCTAGTCCTCAAAATGTTTTCAGTACACTGATAAACCAGCAGAGGGAGAAATTTTCCCAAATTTTCTGTTCAGATGTCCAAATGTCTTCATTTTTTAATGAATCCTTCTGCCAGCTTTTCACTTATCAAATAAGGAAATAAAAGAGTCACTTCATGATTCATTTAAATACATAAAAATGGTGGCATTTAAACATTTAAAAGACAACAAGGCTCCCAATTCTGGTGAGGTTCTCTGAAACAGAGGTCGTTTCACAGCTGGAGGGCTCAAATGACGACACTGGTGCCACTGCGAGAACTCTTGTCCTGGGAGAGACATACTAACTTTAGATTCAATTAACTAGCAATCAGCATAACTCATACAGTTTAAAATGACTTGTGTTTGTTTTGTTGATGCAAGTGCATTGGTGTAGTTGCATAAGTGTGTGTCTTCAGCATGTGTCTATCAACTACGCTACAGCACTGTACGTCTTACAGAGAAGCGTTCATTCCTCCGTGCTCCTGGTTTCTGTCCAGGCTCATACTCTGTGTAGTTGGGAGGCTTGTCAGTCCAGCCTCCACCTCCTCCTCCTCTCCTGCTGCTGCCTTCATCATCTGAGCTCCAGGACCCTCTTCTCGAGTGCCTTGATGCTGGGGGAGAGTAGTTTCCTCTGGACCTGCTGTCAAACAGGTCATCTCTGGAACGGGAGCGGGGGCGGTTCACGCTCCCTCGTAACCCGCTGCGACTCCGCCCATCAAGTGACTCCTCGCTGTAGCTCCTGAGAGCACCTCTAGACTGAGTGGATGAGGGGTAACGGCTGCCCATTGGTCCTTGCTCATCTCGACGGCCAAAGCCACTTCGGCTGCTCTCGCTGGAGCTTGGGGGGCGAGACTTGGGCGCAGAGGGTGGCATTCTGCCCAGTGGTTGCTCTCTTATTGGTGGAAGTGTGATGATGCGACGCTCTACTGGGCCTTCATCAAGACCAGAGATTATGCTGGGAGGGCCATGGGAAAATGGGCCGTTGGGTTGCATGTGCTGGGGAGGAGGTGGCATGTGCTGCATGTGCTGCATGTACTGCGTGTGCTGAGGAGGAGGTGGCATGTGCTGCATGTGCTGGGGTGGAGGTTGCTAGGATGAGTGGGAAGAAGACACAAGAAGAAATAGAGACATAAATACAAAAATTTAAATCACTTGTACATTTAATTTTGTGAAATTCCCAGAGGCACAAGAGCTGTGCCTCAATTTTATGTATAGGACTTCAGCATTGTACCAAAAGCAAGTGACACAAACCAGTGCCCTGATAGATGTTAATCCAACCGCAATACTATTGCTAATTTCAGCTTTGGAAATTAATAGAAAAATAAAAAAAACTTTTTTAACAAAAGTTTTGTTAACTAGATTGGTCAAATCATTGGTTTTTCTAAATAGACTAATTTCAGTCCAAATAAAACTGCCAGTAATGTGAACCACCTCCCCTTCAAAGTAAAATGACAGGAAAACTATAAACTGGCTTCCAAATAGATACAAAATTACTACAATAAAGTAAATAGGAATGGTCACAGAAAGGGTTTACATTTAAACAGTAGGGAATGACAATATAATGAAATAATCTGATGCTCTTCTGTTTACAGAAACAGATTTGATAATACAATACCTGTAGCAGAGGACTGGTCATGTCTATCCCCTTCACCTGGCCCTCCAGGTAATCAAGCATTTGATTGGTGTTGGCAGGGGTGTGGTTGCCATGGACACTTGGAGGGGGCATGCTGTAAGATAATGACTGAGGAGGAGGGAGGGGCAAAGGGTTCATTGGGATGTTCTTCCCTGAAACAGATCCTGGAAAGACAAAATATTCACAAAACAAAGTTAGGTGATGCACATTTGGAGATATTTGTGGACGAATACCTACCTACAGTCTAAAACGGTATTAAAGCCACAGGGTGTGCTTATTTAATGACTTGCTGTGTGACCTGATGTGTGGGTTTCCATATGTACCTGAGTAGAGCAGTGGGTTCATCTGGGAGGAGGCGTGGCTCATTGGTGCATATCCCGGCTGTCCTCCTAACCAAGGAGCCATGGCCCTCTGAGCATCCTTCATCATACGATGCCGCATCACAGCTGCAAGATGAAGACACTTCATATTTATCAATACAGAAGGTCTTCTCTGTTTATAGGCTATTTATCTGCACTGCGGCTGACATGATTTTGTACCAAGAGATTTCCAAAGCGTACAATAAAATTTCAGACTAATTTTCTACCTACTAAGCACTGACTTTGGTTTATACCAGAACAGTAGGAATAGGTCCTTGTGAAAATAATATCCAGCACTTCAGAGGCATGACTGCTCAACAGCAACTCTTTAAAAAGGACAGGTTCATATGGCCATATGTACATTGAAGCTAGTTGTTGCTGTAATCGTTTCTCCTCCCCTTACTGACAGTTAGAGAGACCCCCTCCTAACTTGATATCAGTGTAAGTGATCTCGATAAGTTCCTGTTCTGTGTAAAAATTAATTCTGAGCCTTCTGCAGTTCGAGTCAAATCAAGAAGGTGTCTTCTAAAGTTAGTGCAAAATTCCCTGTCTTTGTTTCCCTAGTCTTTTCTTGCTATGCTCCGGTAGAGGAATAATAAGGAAACACAGTAACTTTGAAGCCCGTTTAAAGTCAAACTGCTGACGCATCATTTCAGCTTCAGCTACACTTTAAAATACCTAGAAAAATGACTGTAAATTTTATCCTCCATAGCTTACATTAAAAATCATGTCAGAAAAGGATCTTTTCACAGCCAGTATGGTCATGAGAAATTACAGCCACTAATAACACTCTCAATGTAGTCATACACATGGGCATGCTCGTCACATATGCCCAACTCATCACATATGGACACTTGTTCAAGACCCCTTGGTGTCGCGTTTAACGCCCTGGGTACCCCCTTTGGCATTGTTTTTCAACGTGTAGGGCCGTGTAGGGTTCATGTTTGCAACAACACAACGTCAGGTCAAGTTAGCGATAACATCAGCTGGTAAACTCAACCCCTCCTTGTGCCTCAGCTGGAAGTAATGATGACTGAATTGTTTTTATCTTATTTTACCAAAAAGGTGGTGTCAATCAGAGCCTCTATTACCCCTGCGACCTCTTACTCAGAGGTTCCTCACCAGCAACAAGAGAGTTTTAACCAGTTTTATCCCATCGACTTGTCTGAGCTTTTAAAAACAGTATCACAAATGAGAGTGCCCTCCAGCCCACTTGATGTAATACCTACAAAGTTTTTACTGAAAGTAATAGGCCCCATTTGATCTCTGTTTTCAACAGCTCCCTATCTACTGGTTGTGTCCTTGATTATTTTAAAACAGCTTGCGTGAACCCACTTTTAAAGAAACCTGGTTTAGATCCCTCCCTCCCACAAAATTTTAGACCAATTTCAAAACTGCCTTTTATTGCAAATATTCTAGAAAGAATTGTGTCCAAACAGCTGCTCATTGTACTGGAAAATAACAAAATATTTGAAAAGTTTCAGTCTGGTTTCAGGAAGTACCACAGCACTGAGACTGCCCTGCTTAAAGTCACCAATGACCTTTTAATGTCTGCTGATGAAGGCATGTGCTCAGTCCTGGTACTCCTGGACCTTAGCGCTGCTTTTGACACTATTGATCACAACATCATGTTAGACAGACTGAGGCACTGTGTGGGGATCTCTGGTACTGCCCTAGAATGGTTTTCATCCTTCCTGTCAAATAGGAAGTTTTGCGTGTCTGTAAACAACTATGTCTCTTCGTTCTGTCCAGTTAAATATGGTGTGCCTCAGGGGTCGGTCTTAGGACCCATTTTGTTTTCCTTGTATCTGCTTCCCCTTGGACATATTATCCATAAACATGGTATTTCTTTTCATATTTATGCTGATGACACACAAATGTACTTGCCCGTCAGATCCACAGACCCTGGAATGCTGAGTTCACTTAACAACTGCCTTTGTAAAGTTAAAAAATAGATGTCAAATAATTTCCTCCAGCTGAACTCAGACAAAACAGAAATCCTGGTCACTGGGTCCCAGCAGATGGCAAGTCAAATACTGCCATCTGCTGGTTTCCTAGTAAATAACATTTGTTCAAGCAGCTTGTTCAATCATGTTTTTATCACCTTAGAAATATAGCAAAAATTCGATCTATGTTAACTTTTAAGGACACCGAGACCATTTTACACGCCTTCATCTCATCACGCCTGGATTATTGCAACAGCCTTTTCACCTGTTTAACCCAAAAATCTATTGATCGACTCCAGACTGTCCAGAACTCAGCTGCCAGGCTTTTAACCAGAATAAAGAAACATTACCCCTATTTTAGCTTCATTACACTGGCTCCCAGTATGTTTTAGTATGTTCAACCAGCCTAAGAGAGGAGAGGAAGAGACATGCTTAATGTGGTGAGGCCAAAGAAACAGAAGTCTTGTTAATAAACTCAGCAAAAAAAGAAACGTCCCTTTTTCAGGACTGTGTATTTCAACAATAATGTTATAAAAATCCAAACAACTTTACAGATCTTCATTGTAAAGGGTTTAAACAATGTTTTCCATGCATGTTCAATTTACCATAATCAATTAATTAACATGCACCTGTGGAATGGTCATTAAGACCTTAACAGCTTACAGAGAGTAGACACTTAAGGTCACAGTTCTAAAAACGCAGGACACTAAAGAGACTTGTCTACCGAATGTGAAAAACACCCAAAGAAAGATGCCCAGGGTCCCTGCTCATCTGCGTGAACGTGCATTAGGCATGCTGCAGGGAAGCATGAGGACTGCTGATGTGGCCAGGGCAATAAATTGCCATGTCCGCACTGTGAGACACCTACGACAGCGCTACAGGGAGACAGGAAGGACAGCTGATCATCCTCGCAGTGGAAGACCACGTGTAACAACACCTGCACAGGATCGGTATATCCGAATATCACACCTGCGTGACAGGTACAGGATGGCCACAACAACTGCCCGAGTCACACCAGGAACACACAATCCCTCCATCAGTGCTCAGACTGTCCGCAATAGGCTGAGAGAGGCTGGACTATTTTAGCTTCATTACACTGGCTCCCAGTATGTTTTAGAATTGACTTTAAAATTTTATTGATCACTTTTAAAGCTCTTCATGGCCTCTCGCCTTGTTATATTTCTGATCTTTTAGTCCCATACACACCAACACGTACCTTGAGATCCTCGGGCAGAGGTCTGTTGTCTCTTCCAGAGTCTCGAGCCTGCCTGAGGAAATCAGGTCGGCTGAGTCAGTGAACTCTTTTAAGTCCCTTCTTAAAACATACTTTTATAGGAGAGCCTTTCCCGATCTTATTTGACTTTATTTTATCCCTTTTATTTTATTGTATTTTACTAATTTTATATTTATCTTAAACGTGTATTTTAGTCTTTTCAATGTTTTCATGCTTTTATCTTGTATTGTTTTGTGTTATTGTTTTGGGGGTATTATTGTCTTTACACTTGTTTTGTAACCTTTTGTAACTTGTTTTTGAAAAGTGCTCTACAAATAAAGATTATTATTATTATTATTAAAAATGCAACATCTGGTTCGACTTTCATAATAATACTACTACTTCACCCTGTGAAACAGAACATTGTAAAAAGTCACAATTTGGTTAGGTAAAGGAAAACAATATTATTTATGTGACTTAAGTTAATTTACTGTTATTTATTATACACCTTCGTTCTAAAATTACGCTACAGGACTTCCCCCAGTGCGTTGCGCTATGACGCTAAGTGGCTCACCCGGGTTACAAAGTGACGCCAAGGGCTCTTGACCATGTGTCCATATGTGGTTACTTGAGAGTGAGAATGTGTTGTTGAGACACATTTGAAAAAATGTTCACAATATCTTTTTTGCTACCAAGTTGCCTTATTGTCTGTTCCCCGTGTATTTCTTACAATATAGGTAAAGAACTTTAGGCTTGTCAGAAATCCATTCCCATGTTTTGAGTGTCAGAGCTTTTCTAACTGGTGCCTGCTCTCTACCTTTTTCAGGACAGCAGCATTGCTGTGGGCAGCAGGGACAGCGCACATAGCAGCAGCATTTTTGAGGGCAACACTGGCAGCAGCAGACACAGAAGAGGATCATCAGAAGGAGAATGCCGATGATAATGAGCAACGCTGTCAACCAGCCTAAGAGAGGAGAGGAAGAGACATGCTTAATGTGGTGAGGCCAAAGAAACAGAAGTCTTGTTAATAAACTCAGCAAAAAAAGAAACGTCCCTTTTTCAGGACTGTGTATTTCAACAATAATGTTATAAAAATCCAAACAACTTTACAGATCTTCATTGTAAAGGGTTTAAACAATGTTTTCCATGCATGTTCAATTTACCATAATCAATTAATTAACATGCACCTGTGGAATGGTCATTAAGACCTTAACAGCTTACAGAGAGTAGACACTTAAGGTCACAGTTCTAAAAACGCAGGACACTAAAGAGACTTGTCTACCGAATGTGAAAAACACCCAAAGAAAGATGCCCAGGGTCCCTGCTCATCTGCGTGAACGTGCATTAGGCATGCTGCAGGGAAGCATGAGGACTGCTGATGTGGCCAGGGCAATAAATTGCCATGTCCGCACTGTGAGACACCTACGACAGCGCTACAGGGAGACAGGAAGGACAGCTGATCATCCTCGCAGTGGAAGACCACGTGTAACAACACCTGCACAGGATCGGTATATCCGAATATCACACCTGCGTGACAGGTACAGGATGGCCACAACAACTGCCCGAGTCACACCAGGAACACACAATCCCTCCATCAGTGCTCAGACTGTCCGCAATAGGCTGAGAGAGGCTGGACTGAGGGCTTGTAGGCCTGTTGTAAGGCAGGTCCTTACCAGACATCACCAGCACCAACGCCGCCTATGGCCACAAACCCACCTTCGCTGGACCAGACAGGAATGGCAAAAAGTGCTCTTCATTGATGAGTCACGGTTTTGTCTCACCAGGGGTGATGGACGGATTTGTGTTTATCGTCGAAGGAATGAGCGTTATACCGAGGCCTGTACTCTGGAGCGGGATCGATTTGGAGGTGGGGGGTCCGTCATGGTCTGGGGCGGTATATCACATCACCATCGGACTGAGCTTGTTGTCATTGCAGGCAATCTCAATGCCTTGCGGTACAGGGAAGACATCCTCCTCCCTCATGTGGTACCCTTTATGCATGCTCATCCGGAGATGATCCTCCAGCAGGACAATGCCACCAGCCATACTGCTCGTTCTGTGCGTGAGTTTCTGCATGACAGCAATGTCAGTGTTCTGCCATGGCCAGCGAAGAGCCCGGATCTCAATCCCATTGAGCACGTCTGGGACCTGTTGGATCGCAGGGTGAGGGCTAGGGCCATTCCCCCCAGAAATGTCCAGGAACTTGCAAGTGCCTTGGTGGAAGAGTGGGGTAACATCTCACAGCAAGAACTGACAAATCTGGTCCAGTCCATGAGGAGGAGATGCACTGCAGTACTTCAAGCAGCTGGTGGCCACACCAGATACTGACTGGCACTTTTGATTTTGAGCCTCCCTTCATTCAGGGACAGATTATTCTCTTTCTGTTAGTCACATGTCTGTGAAACATTTTTCGTTTATGTCTTATGGTGTTGACTCTTTTAGTGTTCATACAAATATTTACACACATTAAGTTTACTGAAAGAAAAAACAGTTGAAAGTCAGAGGACGTTTCTTTTTTTGCTGAGTTTAGGTATTTCTGTCCCTGATTTTGTTAGAACTCAGAACTCACAACAGCTACCTATAATGTCACACAAATTTGGGTTTAAACACATCAACAGTAGAAGTTGTGGAAATTTCTTACCGTAAACTATGAGTTGGATTTCTTTGTCAGAGACTCCAGAGGTGTCTCCAGCAGCATTGACAGTGCAGTAGTACACCCCGTTGTCCCACCACATCACCTCATAGATCACCAGGTCTGCCTCTGTGTACACACACACACACACACACACACACACATCCAATTAAACAGTGGCCAAGTTACCGCTGAAGCAAATTTCAAAAACTTGTCCTAGGAAAGAGCAACACCACAAATGCACACTGGGACTGTACATAGTCTGGTCATGTTTGTCCCGTGACCTGTCTATATTTCAAGTACAATGTTGCTGATTGGCTCACACCTCACATCTCCCATTCAAAGGCATGTCAGTCTGTCACATTAGTTGTCAGGATGAGGTTGCTATACTGCTCATTATCAGTTGTTACAGATTCATTTTCTGTCAATCAACTAATTATTATTAAGTTTATTTAAATAGGGACAGATACAAAAACATAGATAAACTTTGACAGACATCTGATGTGTGTATCATAGTGTTTTTAGCTAAAGCTAATTCACAACACTTGTCCCTAGTAGGGCTTTTTGACTGAAAAATACAGTTTAACAAAATAAACAAAAAAAATGAAGTACAACAGAAGAAAATAAAAAAGGATAAAAAAATTATACAGATTGGGCAACGTGTAAAGACTAAATATGAGAGCAGTATTGTTCCTGAATTAACCACGATTTAGTGTTTTTTTGAAGGAGGCTAATGTCGGGATACATTTCAAGTGATCTGGCAGAGAATTCCATAATTTTGCCTTTTACCGAAAAAGAAGCCTGGGCAAACGATGTTCTTCGAAAAGGGATACTACAATTGCCTTTTGACGCTGATTGGGTGATGCATCTGGTACTTTGCTGTCTTGTTATTGTTTTGCAAAGCGGTGGTGGAGCAGCGTCATTTAAGCATTTGAAGACCAGTTTAACCAGATGCAGGGAGATAAAATTAGCAAAACTTAAAATCTTAAATTGGCAGTGATGAAACCTTATTCTCTTCTTGTCCAGAATTTTCAAGGCTCGGTTATAAGACACTCTATGGTTTTGACTGATGACTGATGAGCTTGAGACCATGTGGTTAAGCCACAGGATATGTATGAGAGGACCACTAATAATTTCAGCTCTATTATGAAGTATAGGTATAATGATAGGTGAAGTAAATTATTTATAATCTGGATGAAGTGTTCTCAAAACTTCATTTAGTCTCAAGACTAAACAGGGTCTCATCTGGATTGAGCCCGACGCCAGATGTGTTGGATGGGACCATGTAGTGTTTGCATGAACTCACTATTTTGGATGGTGATCCTACGTTCACGGTATTCTACTCCAAGTGTGGGCTCGCTGGTTCCTTTCTTCTGGATCACTGTGCGCACTGTCCGCTGACGATCTGGACAGTCATTTGCTGGGTCCTGCCCTAACTGTAGCGCAGACTGGTACGCTGCAAAACCAGAGGCAAAGTTTTCATTAAAGCAATAAATAACGATCTTTCCTATGATTGGCGACCATGTAGCGCTTCTTTTTATTACCTGTATGCTTGGTAGGTATAAAGATCAAAGTATCTTTATTGTGCGGCATCACAAAACGTACTGTACAGGATTGACTATCCAGCTAGTGAGTATTCTGAACTGTGTCAACAGCAGGGACAATTATTGAAATATGTCCAGGCCTCAAGTTCTAAACCTGGCAAAAAATTATTTTAACCATGCTAGCGGCATGCCTCTAGGGATGGGAATGTTGGTTGCTAAGTCGGACAACCACTTGGTTCAGACTGAAACATCTCTACAACTGCTGGATGGATTGAGACATTCTTGGTCTCCAGAGGGTGAACCCTACATACCTTGGTGATCCCCCAACTTTTGCTCCTGTGCCATGAGGTTGTCATGTGGTTTTGAGTGAAAGGTCTCAACAATTATTAGATGGACTGCCATGAAATTTGGTATAGAAATTTATGTTCCCCACGGGATGACTTGTAATAACTCATGACTTGTCATATTCTGCAATCATCATATCAAAATTTGAATTTATCAAATACTTTTATTTCCAATTACATTCAAAACTAATGACATTCTAATCTACCTAATCTGTAGTTTGTGTCAGTTTTACATAGCCAATGTTAGCATTTAGCTCAAAGCACTGCTGGTGCCTAAATACAGCATCACAGAGTCACTAGCATGGCTGTAGACTCTTAGGCTTTTAAATATATTAAAATGTTGTCAATAAACCAAACTCCAGTGAAAACACCTTCATCAACCATGCAAAATCAATTATAGTCTGGTTTCAGCAAGTCCATACATCACAATTCAAGGAGTCAGAGGTTCTTCTTGTCACTTACACAAGCATAATGTAGTTTAATACAGTGCGGCATACTCATTAAGGCTGTTCTAAGAAATTTAAGTGAAAAATAATCATTTGAAAAAACTGAAATAGAAATATAATAGATATGTAAAAATTGTGGCTAGTCATTAAAAAGTGCAAATGTGCAGGCCAGTTGAGAACACAGTTTGTTAGACAAAGGTATACACAGAGGGCAGAGTTCACCATGCCAGTGGCCTGAGGAAAGAAAGTGTCTAACTCTGTGTTGGACTTGGTGCTCCATAGCTGTGATAGTCTACTGATTACAAAGAAAACTTTTTGATGCACAAATTCTTCCTTTATCATCATCAACCAAGTGTTTATAATTGGCAAAGGTTAAGTTGGAGCCTACAGCTTATTACACCACCTTAGCTCGCACATTAAGCTCACTACGTATTGTAAGTTTTTCCTTCTGGCTTTGATGAGTATTCGGCGAGAATGTGAGACTTCTTATATGAACATGGTGTCTTTTCCTCAGCCAGTCATGCTTTACCTCCTCTGATTCACATCAGCAGAGAGAAGTGCCTGACAATGCAAATATACCATCACTTTTCTCACCATAATTCTCTCGTGTGTATGATGTTGCTTACCTGTGGAATAGTAATCCAGCACAGGGTCCTTGCAAAAGGACTTGAACGTCCAGGTGACGAGGACATCTTGGACATTTGCAGAGGTGGCGTAGTCACAACGGAGTGTTACTGGGACAAACAGAGTTGTGCTGTACTGCTGCTTAAGAACATTCACCTGAATACACACCGACACTGTGGAGAGACGGCAAACAGATGGTAGTTTGTGTATTGTGCACATGTTTGTAAGGAATAAAGCACAGTCTCAAAGTCAAGTTAGATAAGCGTTGTAAAAACGAAACAATTTGTGTGGAGGTTTTCTCTCAACCGTGGAGTTTATTTCACAGTGGCAGAACCAGAAAAACAGGTGACACAGACAAAGGCACAGGAAATGGCTTACAGTGAAACTACCAAACAAACATTCAAAAGCTGGAATGAAACCTGTTCAGTTCATTTGTTCCTAAATGTAGACAGGTCAGTGACTCTTTAAAATAAGATGTAAGACTATAAAAAGGTAGGTTACAGTTTAAAAACATAACTGGACCACCTTACACCAACCTGGTAAATAGGAATCAGTAGGCTATAGTCCTCCAAATAAAAAAAAGACACGTATAATCCAATGAAAAAATCCTTTCGTTAGCTTCGTCTAAGCAGACTTCAACTAGAAACATTATGTAGGTCGACCAAACAAGATTTACATCTTTAAATAAACAAAAACATGTCATGTGACCGATACCTCTAGTTTGGTTAGTTTCAGTCGCAATTTTGAAAAACGTGCGATTCACAAACAGTCGACTAATTTTAAGACAACATGAGGCTAATATGTAAAGAAATGGCGATTACCTTTTAGAAGCGACAGCAGAAGGATCAGGGCAGGTAGACTCCCCATGATGACAAAAACGCTACAAAATTCCTCCGCCTCCGAATAAAAAGAGGGAAACTAAACTCCTCCAATGACACAAAAAAAGATATGAAAAAAAAAAAGATGAAGCTATGTATTTTAACCTGAACCTAAACACAGTTGATCATTGCGTCGTCCTGTGTGTTTGTCTGAACAGTAAGCTAACTTTGCGTTTAATGCTTGAGACTGAAGTCATCTCTGGCCACACCCCGAAACAGGTGAATTCGTCCTAACCTGTGACGTAAGCAGGTGAACAGCAATCCCCTAAAATGAGGAAGGTCTGCCAGTCCCAACCGCACAGTATAAAAAACAAACAAATCATCATAATACCGGGATTATTGTAAACGTGTGTGTGTGTGTGTGTGTGTGTGTGTGGTGCTCATTATTTATCTAATCGTGATATCTTTTTCATTCCACAATGAGATAAACATTAAACATAGGATGAATTCAGATAATCTGGGAATTTCTATATGCAAATTTGACTTCTGCGAATTAATACGAGATCATTTGATCAACACATTAGACCTTTTTGAAATCCATAAGGTGTTTTCTAACCATTCCAGACGAAATAATGTAGATAGCCTATCACATACCAGAGGAGACATGCCAGACATGTTAGTGGCAAAAGAAATCTGCCCCAATGTGATAATCTGGGACACTTGTACTAGCCTTTAAAAAAAAGGCCAAACACCTTAATGCATGCCATGCTCAAAATCACGATTTTAAATAAAAAACTTTATGAAAAAATTAAAGGTGAATAAGAAAATGTAGGCAATATAATAGAAATGTCATATATGCTAAACATAGAAAGAGTCATAGACTATTTATTCCTAAAGAACTAAATAAAGGAAAAACCAGGAAAATGCTTAAATCTGTATACACAGGTTTTATGATACCATGTTAATTCATTTATATTAATTTAAACCATTGTATTTAAACAGTATGACAGTTAGATCAACGCATTATAAGTTAAAGTAGCCTATATCAGAATCCCAAACCTGTCCTGTTGATTTGATTTTGTTAGAACAGGAATTAAACACACTTAGGTCTCTACATTAAAAGTATTGGTTGAGACACTGGAAAATATTGTTACTATTAGAAACAACTGAGAGTGTTTTTCTTTATTCATTCCACACCTGGTTGTAACTCTGCACTAAAACCAGTAGATGTCATTCTAATATTGTGTTTATCTGAGCTGGAACTTCATGAGAATTCCTGTTTCAGCTGGACTCCACCTAAAACCAATCAGTTTATTGTCTGGAGGAAAGATACTTTTTAAACATGTCCTATTTCATAAACATCTAAACCCATCTGCATTCGATTGGGACTACTTTTGTGTGTTGTGCTGAAGTGCTTCAAATGGTCAAAGATTTCCCCTCTAAGCACACCCATTCTGCACCTGCAGCCCTTCTGAGCTTTTATTTTTCCTGGAAACTCCTGCCAAGATCAACTCTGTTTCCTACTTGTTCTCCCTTGTGTCCTGTTCTTCTGTTGAAAGTAGAGAAGGGGCCAATGTCCAACTATTAATTAAAGACAAAGCCTAAAGACAAAATTAAACCTTTAATTGGTGTCCCTAACCAAACAGATTACAGCTTAATCTACACATGTAGCCTCATTATTTACTACTATATATCACAGGCTGCAATATCCCCCTATTCAACGTTCTTGTCAAACAACTGATCATTTATCTCCTGCCAATAATGACACATCTCTACATTCACGACTAACAATGTTTAATGTTGTGAATACATTGTATCAACCCTGGGAATATTTCAGCAAAACACACACACAAGGTCAACACAATTCACTTTGCGCCATAAGTGTGATCTCATCGCAGGCAAATATACTTTTTACTCAACATTTATCTGATAGCTAGTTAATACTTACTCTGCAGATTCAAATTAGAAATATAAAATATAATAAACAAATAAATTATGATGTATTATTATAGATTAAGCTTCCTAGCACTATATAAAGTAGTAAATGTTAGCTCATCCTTTACCAGCTGCAATATTGTGTTGCTTACACATTAATGCATCAAATATTCAGTTACTGTGCAGTAGTATAGAACTTTTACACTGTATTATTACAATTATTGGTTCTACTTAAATTACCTTAAGCATTTCTCTATAACATTTTCATTACTAAATAAGTAACATCACTAGGTGTTTGTTATTAACAGTTTGAAACTGAAAAACTCAGCTAATCTGCTTCATCGGGACTGTGTGGTTGTGGTTTGATCAGATTTGACGGAGAGTGAACAGCAACCCACCAAATCAGATTGATTAAAAAATGCTGATTGGCGCTCACTGGCATCACGTTTCCAGGGGAGCCTCGTCCACAACAAACCAGTAAGGGAAGTGCATGAAAAATCACAAACAAGCCTTTTACTCTGTGGTGTGTGGTGATGTCATATTTCCCTGCTCTGTGCAGCCCAGGAGGGAGTTGCTCAACAACATTCCTGACATACTCTTAAGCTGTGACTGATCACTGTATCAACCGATCCCTCCCATCACAAACTTATAATACATTGTTTTAAATGTAACTAGTAAATACTACGTAAAGCAGTTAAAATCTTCCCCATCATAACCAAGTACAGTAAAATGCTGCTTATAGTAATAACAATCCAGTAATGTAATACTCCTAGGGCCATTTTTCAAGTAACAAGCCCATTTGGTATCAGAATTGTACGTACAGTACAGCAGTTGAATAAATGTACACCACTGCCTGTATGACATGACTTCTTGAACCTATGCAGTTGAAAAATAAAGAATAATAAGCTGTAACATGAAAGCGCTGTGAGATAACTGTTGTTGTGATTTGGCGCTACATAAATAAAATTGAATTGTATTGAATTGAATTAACAAAACCTAGGTTTCATTCTTTCTCCTAAGCTAATTTGCTGAGAACACTTTTGGTTTGTGTTATACCAAACTGGATCTTGCCGTTTTAATAAACAGATACTTTAAATGTTGTAACAAATTATTTATGTCATTGACAAAATAACGGTGACACAGAAATCTGTGGCTGAGCTGGCAGAACTGCGAGTTTTGACACAGCTGTGTAGCAAAGACAGGCAGTCTCTGATTACAACAATGAACAAAGACAATGAGTCACACTCAATTACACATTGTCTCCTTTACAGAAAAGTATAGTCATCTCTCTCTCACACATATGAACACACTTGTCAGTACCAGACAACACAAACACGATGGAAGAAAACTAAACACTGACATTAGACTTTTCGGAAGACGAAACGACCTAACATGGTGGCGGTAATAATGAAATACTGCATGGTGTAATGTTAGAACAAAATAAGTAATAAAACTTAATAAGACTCAAAAAATCAGTAGGCTAATGAGGTGTGTATATATATGTGTGTGTGTGTGTGTGTGTGTGTGTGTGTGTGTGTGTGTGTGTGTGTGTTGAATCGCTAAGATAAGATAAGGCTGAATAACAGTAATCAAATCAAAGACACTTAATCTTATGTACACACTCACACAGGAAAGCAAACATAATCTTTTACAAATTACTAGGGCCATATCACAACACACACATAAATAGATCAAGTTTACATAAAAAATATCTTGATACTGTAGTACAATTTTTTAAAGGCAAGTGGCACTTCAATGTTTACAAAAAATACAAAATGTCCTCAGGATTTAGTCCCTAAGATAAAATAGTTACTTTGTGCAAACTAACATGTTTTAATAGAAGACAAAAAGCACCACTTACATACAGGATGGAGACAAAATAATGTTTCGGCTTCATGAATAAGGACTGTAACTAAATCCCTACAGCACATGCTGTAACAAATCTCTCATATTGGGTCTGCAGTCTGCAGTATTAGTCCACCTTTGTTAGTTTAGTACTTTGTTAACGTAGCTTTCAGTCTTTGGACCGTACTGTATGTTTGACCAATTGGAATACATTTCTGATGATCACTCCTGCAGTCTGGGCATATATTATGTTGCTTTAAAAACATTTAAAGTATACTAATAAAAATCACATCGATTGCCAGGCTTCTTTTCTAGCTCATAAATGTTGCTACATAGAATTGAACCTTATATTACCCAGCTAATTTGCATGTATGACTTAGTTACCTAAAGCAACATTAATATATTTCTGGCCACATGGAGTCAGTAGAAGAAGCTGTAGAAACGTCCAGTAGACACGAGCAACATTATTATTAATTTGAAGGCGTATTTGTCCAACTGAGAAATATAAGTCCAATCTTTACTCTCATTTCAGCCCTGTTTTGGTCTCCCAACAACTCCCTGAGAGAAATATATGTCTCTTTAGCTGCTAAATGCTCCACTATGTTCACCAGCTTGTAGCTAACTGCGTCTGTCTGCCGTTTGTGTCTTGTAATGTACAGTTGTGTTTTAGAGTTTTTGTCTTTTTTTTAAACTAAAAACAGCTGCCTGCTGACACAGGGTACACAGCGATACAAGGTTGATGACAGCAGTGACAATGAACATACATAGTGAAGTTGCAGGCCGCAAATCCAAAACAATGAGCTGAAAGACACTTAAACCCTCTTATAGTTAAGAGGAACTGCTGAGTTGGGTGATAATTTGACACATTTTGCATTACATTTAATCTATTGTCAATTTAAAATATTGCTCAGTGCAGCTTTGAGAGTTACTGCCATATCCATGTTTACATTATTTCGTCCACCCCCTCTACACATCATACCAACATTTGGTAAAGTCGGTTACTACTTCCAGCTTTAGTTAACATTAAAATTAGGTGCTTTAGTCTCTGAATATGTTAATGAATGAAACAGTGTGTGTTTTGTCAAACAACTGGAGCTACAATATGTCCTTTACAATAATGGTGTTGTCATATACCATCTATTCTACAACTGTGCTATTTTAATGCAGATATCTCATCAAGTGGAAATGAATACGCTCTTTGTGCTGAAAGCGTAAACCAAGTCTCTCTGCTTCAGAGCCTTTTCTAAAGGGACGAGGGGAGACAAACAGTGTTCTGCTGGGAGGGACAGTCCAGGTCGTACACCCAGCCACAGTTTAGTGTTAGTCTAGCTGAGATATATATGAGGCAAGCGGTGACAGAAACTGAATAGTGATGACTTCATCATTCAGGGACGTCACAGGCAGAAACCCCAGAGACAGTCTCGAAAGTAAAAGTGTGTCTGTTGTCCACTTTATTCAGCGTTCCTTCACGGTCAGTTGTACTTTGCATATTTTTTGCAATGTCCTCTCAAAGTAATTTCTATCAGCTGAAATGCAGTTCCCGTAGAGTCTGCTCCACTGGCTTCCAGACGATCAGACGATGAGGGAATCCCGGCTGAGGAGAGTGCTCTGGTGAGGATAAAAATAAAGTGTTAGTGATCAAAATAAACAGCTGAGAGTTTACAGCAAAATATGAATACATATCTTTTTCAGTAGAATGGAAGAGTAAAGAGATAGTAAACATTAGCCAAACGGGGTTATTATGGTGAGGTACAACCTGGGACAAACTGCATTTCAACTTCTTTTTAAATATTTTTTATAAGATTTAATTGAAGTCCTGGTGAATTAATTAATCTTGTGCAGGAAGTATTTGATGTTGAATACCTTTTTGACCCAGGTTTGTCAGGGAGGAGACAACCAGTTATGATTGTTAAGGAGAGTAGGATACAGAACAGAGAATTCTACCTAGTTTTCATTGTGGTAGCATCTGAACCTGACCTGTCAAAGGTACAATAACAACAACACTTACTTTAGGCCTACAAATTGTGTTTATACAAGTCAGAGTTTCTCAACCTCGGACCTGAGGCCTCGTGGGGAAGATGACACATTGATATGAGTTTGATATAATCTAACTTTTAATAACAACAGGTTTGAGATTTATCATCTTTTCTGTATAATCCATTTGGAACTCCTTCCAGAGTGTGCAATAATCAATACACATGATAACGTAACTGTCTAAGTGCAGGGATCACTCAAATTTTGGGGCCTACAAATGAGGTTATGGGCCAGGAAAGGATGACAAACTGTACTGCAATGCAAACAGCAATAACACATGCCTGCTATACTAGCTCACATGATGATTGTCTGTCACAATGCCACAAGGTACAAACCACGACACACTACATATCTTAATTAACCAAAAGTTAAATTATTTTGCACCATCTTAAAAAGACAATTAGACTTTGTGTAATCTTGGATCATACATCCATCTAAATGTTCAGACACTGATAAGATTGACTAAAGATACAGATGAAATAAACCTGATTGAACTTCCCATTTACAGCATTTATATACAAATATACCTCCAACTTAAAGCATTACTTTGGTTTTTAGGCAATTATACTATTTTTCAGACAGTGGATGCTTTTCTTTTCGATTTTGGATATGTTGATTGCCTCTCTTGGCTCACTTCATGTCTACAGGATCATATACAGCCCTTTTTGGCCAAATAGTTCCAGGAACTTTGTCCCTATGGCACATTCCCAGTTTCCACCACATCTTAAGAGCCGTTAAGAGGCATTAAGGCGGTATATTGGTATTATGAGGTATGCCGATAATTTCAAGAGATATAAAATTTGACAATGCTGTTTATTGGCAACACATTGTAGCATTTATCAGAGAAACACAGAGTTATTACGTTATAAGTCGCAACAAAGTGGATATTTTACAAGCATGGGCCAAGTAAAGCGACAGTGAACACAGCAGTGCAGATGTCATTCATTTACTACCACGTTTTGTTTTGAAAGGCTACGTCGTCAACATGCCTCCTACTCCAACTACACGTAGCCTGCTGCTGATGGAGAAAGTCACCTGAGCAGATATACAGGGAAAGAGAGACGGAAAGAAGTGGGGCACGCTGAAGTGTTTGCAAAAGAGATACGTACGTGTGAAGAGAACTGAAGAGAAAGTAGTGGGGGGGCTGTGTTAGCGGGCATTTTTTTTACTATTTGTAGTAGCTTGTTTCTTATTTCATCGTTTTAATTATACTTCATTCTCCACCTTATTTAAGTGTCACTCCATTCAATCTGACTCCTCCAGTGACTTTCTCCATCAGTAGTAGGCTACTTTGTATAACGTCGACTCAAAAAAACCGCGGTGACGGCCTTAAAAGCAGGAAAATACGGCACTTGTTAATTACTTTGAAGTTAGCCTAGTGTTAACATTTTTATAAAATTTCATCGATTACACACCAATAACTAGTTTTCAACAACTAGAAAAGATGCTACATAAGTTCTACTCCATGGATGTGTAACAAGACCTGGATACAGCGCCGCCCCTCAGCCTTGCTTCCAATTTTTCCCAGTGGCCACTCACAGTTCTGCAGTGAAAAATTACGCTGTGGCACAAAAAGCAGGACAGGACACCTCAAACTGCAAACAAGGTCAATTATCTTTCTTTTATGAATTTTTGATAAATGGAGGTTTTAATTTAATTCTTGACTGACTGAATATGTGCCATCTTTGGGTCGTGTATCGATAATCTTATAATACATCCATGCTCTACTCACTGTTGGTTTGCGTTACCAGCAAACAACCCTACTATAACCTAAAGGTTCAAATGTAACTCACCACTTTACGGTTCTTGTCTCTAGGTTCCTCTCTGCGACTGGGCAGACACTGGGAAGGAGACTGGGCAGCGGGTTGAGGGGAGCGAGAGTTTGCTGGGAGCGGCCGTGGAGATGGCCTGTCAGTTTTGCGCTGTATCTCTGAGTAAGGAGGCAGTGGATCTGCCTCAGGCCTGTTACTAGGCGAGCGGCTGCAGTGACGACTAGATTCCCCGCTGCTCTTTTTCGAGCTGCCCTTCGAGGGTGTGTCTGAATCTTCCTCACCCCGGGCCCCACTCTTCCCCTGGTCGACCCCTCGCAACTTAGCCTTGCGCTCCAGCAGGCTGTTCAGGAATGTGCCATCATAGTCCTTCTCTTGAGAAGAAGTTGATGGTGGACTAACTCTGGGAGGAGGTGGGACAGGACGCTGGCTGTCCCAAGTGCCCCTCCTCTTTTTGGGTGAAGGAAGTGGACTTATGATAAGTCCGTTTTTCTTGTTTCGTCTGGGACGATCTTCACGGTCGCTGCTGTCCCCAAGCTCATTTTCATCGTTGTGATAATGCTGAGGCGGACCATCCCGGTAGGAAGGATACTGTCTGTACTCCAGAAGCTCCATCTCATAGTCTCCACTTTCTTCTTCCCTTTTCTCTACCCCTCGACTTACTCTTTGCTTGTAAGAAGCAGCAAACTCCTCCAGCTCATCCAGTGAGCCAGTTCGTCCTGCCGTACGGTATGTCTTTCTCTGCAGATGTTCTGAACGAGGGTTCCATCTGCAAAACACAACACAAGGCCAAGAGAGGACAGAGAGAGACAGAGGGAGGTGACACGGGAAAAGGAAGCAAGACAAGATGAACAAAACTGTGAGTATTGTTTATGCAGATATACAGAATCTGTTTGTTTACTTAAGTAAATGGGTTACAGCTGACTTTCTCCAGTAAGATGATTGCTTAAACGTCATGTACTGTATACGGGAAACCCATTTCTGTAATCAAGAAAGGGATTTCCCCAGCTGGATTTCTCCAGGAAAATGTTAATTTCTTGGCCATTTATAAATGTAACTGGATTTCAAATTGTTGTTTTATGCAGGACAAGACTTAAACTCAACATAATTCCCTAAGCCCAATTCAAACTGAAACAAATAAAAGTAGCCTCTACAAGTCTAAAGCAGTTGGCAAGTTGAAAATTCAGACACATTTGCAACAACTGAGGCTGGGCTGACTTGACCTGCTGCATGTTTACATCTGCCCTAAAACGTCAATTAAAGCCTCTCCCAAACCTGTCCCTTTTACTAGTGTGACTACAGTTTTTGACAATTAAAGGCAGATCTCTATTAGACATCTGGTCTGGTTTTTATAGAAGTTCTTTGGATGTATAAAACCTCTTAAAGCCCACCGGGTCACTTGCTTGAGCTAGTTCTAAGCTGCTTGGATTGTGCATCCCAAAATAAATGCTTAAACTATATGGACACATCGTTAGATCGGCTAGATTCTCCAAAATTCAGTCATTTGGTTCATTTTACGGAAACAATGATCACCAAAGTATTTTTCATTCAGATTTACTGGTGTGGTAAAGTAATTAAAGGTCTGTCAAATATAGACGCCTATCCCAAATACAGACTTCAGACATATAAGCGAATAAAAGCCCCGGCTATTAATTGAAGTTTTAAAGGCTTCACAGTAACCTGGTCTCTTTAGTGCATTTAAATACACACAAACAAGTATCTGTACCTGTTGTGGTTTTCCTCCTCGCTGTGATTCTGTTGCCGTTGATTTCGTCCGAGCCTGCGCGACTGTGAGGAGGACGGAGGATCATCGCTGTATCGCCGCGGAGGATGAGACTCATCCTGGCAGCACCGGGGCTCTGAGTTGGGGTCATCGCGATATCGTTGGGATGAAGGGGGATTGTCACGATAACACTGCAGCTGTGGGATGCGGTTGTCACGGAAGTGGTGGGTTTCAGGCTGAGGGTCTTGGTCAGGGATTGCGGGGAGAGCTTTCTTCTGGATGTTTCGGTATGTTTGGCGAAAACCGGTGTCTCCCTCGTGGAGGGAGCTCAGCTCGGACAGGCTACAGGCTGCATGGGTCAAAATCACGGAATAGATAAATAAAGAGCGAATGAACAAAGAAAAACAATTAAACAGAAAATTCAACTTTAAGGAAGGAAGTACAGAATTTAAGAGAGAAATACAATGAAGATACTGCAGAAGAAAAAAGTCCTCAAGAGATTACTCTATGTTTTTGAGTTAGCATCGTTAAAACGTATTCTTTCAGGAAAGTAGACATGCACACCTGCTATTGTGAACATCTGAACTACAGGAAATTCAATACGCAGGATGCTTGTGCAGAGAGGCATGCCAAGATAAGCTCAAGAGAATAAGAAGCCAAAAAAGACACTGTCAACAGTATAGACAGTGCAGCATGCAGTGCACCAACATGCTATAGAAGATCCTGACAGATTAAATCCACAGAATGGGTTTATGAAGCTTACACTGGTGGCTGTTGGACCTGGAAGGGTTGAAGTGAGCCAGTTGTTTCTCTACATACTGTAGCACCCTGAGAGAGTCCTGATCCTGAGGTGAAGGCACACGGTAGGGAACCCCTACAGCATGCATCGGCACTGCAGATACACACTTAACCCATCAACATGGAGAACTTCTGTTTGTCTTTGTGTTTATTGTGGATTGAGGACTATACTGGTGGTTTTGCCTGTTTTATATTCTACCATTTTATTCTCTTACTATTGTTTCTCGCTAAAAATTGCAGAATCCAAAATTTAACACGCAGTTAAATGAGAGCAAACACATCTATTTACATCATTCACATATGGCAAAATAAAATAGGAACTGAATATTCTTGCAGATTATTCCAAGCCCATTAAGTGCATGATTAAAAGGCAGTTCAGAATAAACTTCATTATGCTAGAAGATTAAAAAAATGTGGTCTTTTAATAATTAAAGTGAAAAAAAAAACCCAACTAAAACCACAGATTCACTTGCAAATAAAAAGTAAGACCCCACCTGCTGTGAGTAGGCTGCCATCTGAAGGGGGGACAGAAGACATCTTGTCCACTAAAGAGGGGGGAGCGATGGGGACCATCGTCGGGACACCAGTGACAAAGTATGGAGGGTAGGCAGGTTGAGGGGTGGAGGTGCCTGTCTTTATACCCTTACCTGCCTCATATACTACAAAAGCAACACACAATCCCGTTCAGATTTTCCAGAAAAACATACATTTAAGTCTTGAGCACTAGCCTTCGCACCTCTGTGTGTGTGTGTTGATACTCACGGTGTCTAGGGCAGCAGCATGTGTCGGGGCAGCACCAGCAGCTGACGTAGCAGCAGCAGGAGTGAGGACAACACTGACACCAACAAATCCCAACCAACAGCAGGAACAAGACACTGCCCAGCGCCACTGCTGACACAAACACCCACTCTGGAAGTACACACAACACACAATCCTGCATATTAATACTGTAAGTACCAACATATATTAACACAGGAACAGTGTGATTCGATGAAATCACTACTGTCTCATGCTTGGCTCGGAAATGGCTGCTATTATTTAGCACTGCACTCCATATAACTTTGTCGGACTCATGATGATGGTTAAAAAACGTCAAACTGATGCAGCAAAACCAGAGATATTGTCTTTTTTATTCCATCATACTTATTCCTTGTCTTCAGGTGTATTATGCAATTAGCAGCAAATGTTTTTTATTAATTTTCAACACAGCTCCCGTTGGAGCCACAAGAGGCTTTATACAGCTGTTTTCCCATTTGCAGTAGTACCCCATAAGACTTTTAAATGGTGTACAATTGATGGAGTCTGCATTTGTATGGTGGAATTTGTATTTCAGGAGTGTTTTTCCTGCGTTCCCTCTGTACAGTCTGTCCATGCTTACACTGACTGTGTCTGTATTACATGTAGACTAAAAGCCTTGGTCCCAAATGTATGCTGTATACAAATTTTACCTAATTTGAGTCTCATGTTTGGAAAATAATGAAAGCATACTTAAAAATAAAAAGATTCATTCTAAAATTGTTGGATTACCCTGTTGACAGTCTCAAAATAGAGTGTTGAATGGAAATGAAGGAGATATTCATAGCTAGAAAAATGGGCATAAAGGTAGAAGTAGTAGTAGTAGTAAATGATGAGTTAACTAGGGATTAGTTAACTGATAGAAAGTTACTTAATTACAATTAATAAAAACCAATGAGCTGTTCCAGGGCTGTGAACCTGTAGAATATATAGTAAAACTGTTAATCAGATTTCACTTGGGTTGCGAGAACTTCAATGTTTTTAATGTTAGCAACATTATTTATTCTTAATCAACCTTCATATAATCTCTCAGGCTTCCCACTATAACATGGGTGCTACAGATATCCTAACACGTGTTTGTAAGTTGATAACAAGACAGGTATCTCTGATAGGTGGACAGTGCGACCAGTTTAGTAAATTACTGTAATAACTAGAGAAGATAATCAAGATAATAACCAATAAGATATTTGTTTCTGAATGCATGTAAGCTGCTTGAAGGTTCAATTGAATGGTATAATTTCTTCCTTAACATTATGTAGTTCCTTATTTTCTTGTAAATGTCTTTTTAACCTACTTTTTGCTTTTTAATCTGCAGTGTCTTTCGATCTTTTTATGTTGTGGATTTCTTGTCTGTACTTTTTAATTGTAAACTGTTACCTTTACTGTAATTTTTATTCTGCAAAGCACTGTGACTTGCCTCAGTGTATATACTGTACCTTGCCTACAAACAGGTTGTTAGTGTGGTACATAACACAGTGAGGAATTCTAAACTAAAGCTATGAGTCATTATTGGGAGTTTTTATTCACTTATTCCTGTTTTCTAGGAACAAAATGTTTTTCTTGAGGCGTAAGAAATCAGAACAAATGAAATCTTAACCAGAATATGAGTTGCAAAACAAAATATAAGTGTTAGAGTGCTGAAGTGAGCAATACAACAAGTACAACAGACATGTAGTACATGTACATGTAGGCCTATCTGCCTATAGGGACAAAACAAAGGAAAGGGAAGGAGAGGGCAGATAAGGAAATCTTTAACAATGTAAAACCCAAGACAACATTCCCTAAACACACACACACACACACACACACACACACAGACAAGCAGGAAACCTGATTTTGCTACAGGAAGGAAAAGGACAGTTTAAGCTGCTCTGTAAGATACTAAAGATTTGGCTGTGACAACAAATTAGCTTGTAATGTGATCTCATTTGAAACCATTACAACCCCTACAAAAACACACACACACTCATCAGGATTGTAGCTAACACAGTACATTTAGACATTTCACAGAACTGTGGGAGTTGATGTGGACAACAACACATACTAATGTTGCATTAACACCAGAGATAAGCTTGCAGTAACCATTCAGTGAATCATACCATGTCAGTTTGGGAGCTACTTCCACACAATTCATCCATTCATTTATCACTTCCCACAAACTCTGTGACAATTAAACATGTATTACAGGAATGTGATGTGACATAAACAAACCTCCCTCCCTCTTGATCACTGTGTTTTTACTGGGTAGTGTCCAAATGATGTGGGATGACATGCTAACCACAACCATAAATAACCATAATGACCATAATAGCTGTTTCCCAGCACAGCTCATCTTAGCAGGAGCGACGGCCAATTCATTATCTGACGGGTGTGGATCGATCCATTGGGTTAAAAATGGCTCAGAACTGAACTCCGTCAAATCCTCCTTATGGCTGAATAAACCTGTTGCGTTGTTTACTGATGTGAGAGCAGAATATGTTAGATAGTTTATGAGCCGTTAGCATAGGAACCATTAAACATGGCGGAAATAGTAAACCTTTTGTTTGCCTTTCTTTATCAGATCAAGTCTCATGTGCCAAATGTCAGAGCCCAAAAAAAAGTCCCTGGGAAACACTTCCTACCCCTCTACCATCACCATCCAAATGGTTCCTAAGCCCATGGTTAGAGCAGTAAGTAAAGTTAGTATGAAGAAAAGGAACCAGGTGAGGGGGAGAATACATTATGCCCCTACCTGGCATAATCTTCAAATCAAAGTCTGGCAGGAGATCTTCAGGCACACCTGAGAAACCTGGAGAAAGACAGAGCAGGAGGTAAGGAGAGGAGATGGTGTTGATATAAATTGGAATGACTGATTCAGAGTAAGTTATTGCAGCAGCAGCATGCGTGAAGAGAGAGGGAAGACAGAGAGAGAGAGATACAGAGAAAGAATGAGAAAAAGACAGATAAAGAGAGTTGGCAGGTCAACAGCAGCATGCACCAGAAGACATCCTGGTCTTGTTCCAGAAAGTCTCCACATCAGAGCAAATGATAGGCAGAGTAATCATCTGATTTGTGATTTTGTAAAAGCTGCTGTCTGGTAAAAAAGACAGACTGGAACATGAATCATTCTCATGACGATAACGTGACAAATTAGGCAGGAGCTGTGAGTAATGTTACATGCAGAGCTGCAAAAACCACAGGTGGGAACGTTCCTCATGTCCAGAGCAAGCAAACAGACTGCAGAGAAACAATATGTTCCTCATGTCCAGAGCAAGCAAACAGACTGCAGAGAAACAATATGTTCCTGAAACTATTTATTTGTCTTTGTCTCAATTTTGTCTGAATAATGAATTGAGTAGTGGCTCCTGGATGAGACCAGGGGCACCCATTACTTCTCTCTAATAATAATCTCTCTCCAATTTGACAAATCATCCCACTTATCAATTCAGGAAAAGTTGCTAAGGACAGCGGCCGTATGCCACGTACGTGTTAGCTTCCTCAACTAAACTGTTCATTCATCTTTCTGCTGAAGCATGTTTCTGGGTTTTCTGTTGATATTCTGATATTTACTACAGGAATGCATACTTAAATGTGTACTTCACATCATCAAAGCATCATTATTACTAACCAACACACCTGTCAGTTGTTGTTCCTGGTATCTTGCTGATATTATGTCTTTCTCCCTTCATTTTTTCTTTAAACACAGCTTTACAGGACTCCGCACAAGGTCAGCTGACGTCTGAATGAAACATTATGGTGATGGATAAGGGGGTAGTGTGTCACAAGTTGGTACAAAAATGTGCACCTCTGTGTTTTTTTTGGGTGTGTATAATATCCATGTGAGCGTGTAAGTTGAAGCTTTGTGAAAAGTGAAACAGCCGGCAGATGAGTGTGATGTGAGCAGATAGTAGTGTTTTACTGTTGATACACGATTAACGCAGAGAGGAGGAGAGGAGTGCTGAGCATGAAGACTGGAGAAACAGAGAGCAGGCCGTACTATCTTGGTCTGACTCAAGCTGACAGTGCACATACCTCTCTTAGTCTCTTTCTGGAAGGCTAAACATGTTCATTGCTGGATTTAGAAAAAAGAAAGATACCTATTAAGTTTATAAAGAAGCGGCTGAATCTTAGTATAGGTGCTGACATTTCCATTTTGTGTATTTATACTCCTCCTATAGAGATGACTTGTAAAGGGCAGGTGAGCCTACACGATGGTTGAGCTCAAAAAACCCTTGCTTTGGAACTGGGCCCAGCGATTAACTTACTTTAATGTCTACTATTATCTATCACATTTCATTCAACCCCATCAGGAAACTCTTTCTGCTTGGCCTCAACTGACCCTTCGCTAAGTCACACCCCGAATACGCAGCTGGCCAATCACAGTGCAGTATAAGACTCGCTCTAACTGAGGTGCAACACTTTCATGGTTGCACTCCATTGACTCCTATGCAAAAGGAGCTGTTTTCTAGCTTTTTTTTGCTGTATTTTTCCAAGATTTGGTGAAACGCTGTTCCTGGGAAACTTGTAATAGACCCAGAAAGGTTGAAAGGAGAAGTACGATTTATTATCTTTCCAAAACTTAAGATAAATCCAGAAAAATATAGGTTGTGGATTGTTTCTAATGTAATGTTAGTTAGCTAATGCCAGCTAACTTACTACTTAATGTAACCTTACATAAACCTATTGCTTTTGCATTTTAATGATTGTTGATCCTTGATATCGTTGTCTTTTGTCTCAATCGTTGGGGGATGCAGTGGTTCACTTGTACTGTGAGATCAGTAGGCTTAGCTTCTATCTTTCTTTTTTTTCACATTAGTTTGAGTTAGTTTGACAGCCTGAATAAAACCATCAAATATTTAATGCAACAGCAAAACTGTCTGCTTCTTTCTGAGAAAGCTTTTTCCAACAAATTTGACAATATTACTCCTGAGTGCAGTAATAGACAGTGGCGGCGCCGTGATAAAAGTCTGACGGGTCAGCGAACGGTTAATAACAGGGAAGTCAGGAGTCACAGTGAACTACAGAGCTTTATAATACATTTATTGCTCTAGGCCACCTTGGAGGGGAAATTAGTATTTTAACAAAAAAGATCTATTCATAAATATATCTACTCATGGATTATACAGTTTGTGTGTTTTGATAAATGGATCACATGATATCCATTCCTTCATTCATTCATCATGGGTCGCACCATTTTTATAATCTGTTCTTTGTTCATTCATCCATGTTCATTTGTTCAGATTCACCATCAGAGACTGACAATCAAGCTAAATTGGCCCAGCCGATATATTGCCGTATGTTGCCCGATAACCACCAAGAAATTGCAGTGCAGAAATGCCAAACGAGGTTTAAGGTCTTTTAGAATCATTGTCACAATTACAAAGATTGTCCATCAGAAAACACTGTCAAGTTTATTTTAAAATTGTAAAATGTCCCACTTAATATCTCGGTCACAATTAAAAACAACAACTATTTGTGTTTATGTACAACAAAAAGAAAACACCTGGAATTTTTTATAGCTCTCAAATATTGATATCAGTATTGGCCTCATATAGTAGGTATTTGGCTTTATATTGGATTCACTGATAGTTGACACCATGCATGGAAATATCGAGGAACACTTTACACATGGCACATTTCCTGCCTCGTGTACATTTCATTTTGTCAAACTTTTGTATAATCAAGATTGCTTCTGAGCTATAAACTTCAAAAGGGGAGAAGAGAGGGAAGCAGAGTTCTTCCCTCCACATCAGTCGAGTGTCTCACAAGGTGTCAACCTCCATCTTTTTTATCACTGTGCTCTGCTGTCCCTCCGCCACATCATTAAATCTTCCCTGTCTTATTTGCGGTGAAGCCATTTGCTCAAAAGACAAAAGATCCCCTCTAAACCATTCGCTGTGGCCCCACTGTTGTTATGGAAACCCAACAAGTGCCTCACTTGCCATTTTACCACACCAAGACCAGGAAAGACAACATTTTGTCATTTGTCATTTTGTATCATGTGATACATTTAGAGTCTCTAATGCGGTGTTACAAATTCACGCTGCAACATCTTCTATCACTATCTGTAACTTATTATGGCCGTACACAACATTTAACAGGATTCAGAAGTCTTTGCAAACTATAACAGCTTTTTGTCCTGTACATTGTGTGTGTAATTGTGAGCGCAAGGGTGTGTGTGTGTGTATTTTGTGCATACACATAGGTCTCTGAGTGCCAGCCAAAGAAAAAGTTCAGCCTCACAGTGAATTACAGCACCAGGAGCCACATAGCCTCTCAGCCGGTGCTATGGAAACATTTGTAACTTAACACAGACAAGTACACTGACACTGTAGAGATAAAACACATTGCAGATACTATTACAACATGGGACACACATACACACACACACACACACACACACATTAGCATATGGCATATTAGCGCAAATGTTAAAGACTCAAACAAACGATAACTATTCTGCAGTGACCAACTTTAAAAAACTTGCCATATACAGTAACATACAGTATGAGTGAATGCTGATGCAATGGTTACAGGTTAGGCAAGACTGCCCAGGAAATGCCACTACTCGTTATAAATCAGCTCATTAATAAGTCTGTATTGTGCTGTTGGCAATGAATAGGTCAGCATATAAAGACCTTGTTATGTAACAAGAGCTTGTAGAAAAATTCATTATACAGTGATGTATTTGTGTTTTTGTGTCTATGATTAATTACATGCACAGTAAAGGATTGGTCAAACTTGGCTTCAGTCCTGCACCCAGTAGTAAAATAGGACATGGTGGATAACAGTGTGTGGTGGGATATCTATGAAAGAGATGCTGCTGTGTTTGTTTGGAAGTCACATTGGACAAAGTGGTGATGAGACACCGCTAAAATCCGGGCCTCAGTAACACATTGTGTCATTTGGTCTACCGTGTAAATTTGCAGGTCAAAGTTCAAAAATGATGAATCTGCCAGAGCCGGTCAAAGCTCACACCAAAACTGGTAACACATTACTGAGTTTCTAAGTTGCTTGAGCTTTAATGGATGTCAGTGAGACGCAGAGGAGATAATCACAGAGAGTGTGACTGAGCTCTTCGGCTCATCTTTTTACATTTCACGACTAATATCCTTTACAACAGGCATGTTGGGAAAGTAGAGGCAGCTTACCAAGAACCAGCAGCTCCACAGAGGCTTCGTTCTGCCCCTCTAAATCATCAGATATAACCACTTTACAGATGTAAACTCCACTGTCTCCCCACTGGACCTCTCCTATGCGCAAGTCTGCCTCTGCATGAGAAAAAAGGAAGAGGTTAAAAATGAGAAACTCAATCCTCCTAAATACATATTTATCAACATTTAATATAATTTGTTGTTATGTATATATATATATATATACACTTTTCTTATAGTTCTATGTTTTATAGTTCTAAATGACAGGTTGTAGCTACAGGTTGTGAACATTAAATATCCTGCTACTCAAAACTGATTCTGTCTTCTCAACCTACAGATTTTTAGTTTTAGTTATTTTAGTAATTTAGTAACTGAATACTATGAAACAGTCATAGGTTTGAAATTATAGTATTAGAGTATGTAGGCAAACTGACACCAGATTCAGATTGGATAAAATGCTAAAACCTCTAATGCTGTTTGAAAAGAGATGCAGTCATGAAGCACAATGCAACACTGACCTTTGTTAGGTCCCCAAGTACATGTTATTTTAAAACATTCTCTAGTAATGTCCTAATTAAGTCTGTTTGCCCTCCATCTCATGCATACTGCATGTTTCATTTTAAATGTGTAAAAATAAATGCAATAATGTTATTTCTTTATAAAAAAAACAGCGCGCCTTAATTTTTGCCTGCCCTGAAAAAAGAAATCTAACTGTAGAGCCATGACCTCTGTTTCATGCTGCAGGGGATGAAAATACCATAAACAAAAAAAGTGGAAATGAAGGTGATAAAAGGATTATTAACCAGTGAAAATTCTTTCATATTCATAATGTTTGTATTTCTATGGTATCCATTTTAAAGACTTACATGTGATTGTTGAACATATCATTGCAAAACCATGGGCATTAATATGCTGCTATAACAGCATGAACTCTTATTCAGAAGATTTGGAACCTGGCTGCAGGTATCTACTACTAAATGACTAGCGAGGTTAACCAGTGATGTTAGGCGACAAGGCCTGGCTCATAGGTGTTGAATGGGGTTGAGGTCAGGGATCTGTGTAGACCAGTCAAGTTCTTCCACACCAAACTCAGAAAAACAGCCCCAAACGGATGTAGAGAACAGTCCCCACTACTCTTTGTCACATAGTGTATTTGTGATCCCCCAGAATAATGCATAAAGTTACATTTCATTAGTCATTTTTCATGTTTTTCTAATTATGGAAGCAAGTAAATTCAAATATAGTTTGGCCCAGGAATCCAACACATGAGACAATGCTGTGCTGCTGACTCCACTGTAAGAGGGACAGACATGTAAATACAGCAGACAGGAAATAGGTTGTATAGTTCACATCCTTTTCCTGTTAGCAAAGGAAAGGGGAGGAGAGACAGGCTGACCAGGCTGCACCACCGTGACCAGTCTCACAAAGTGACACCTCCATTCATTCAGCATACCGTTTTTTATTCTAATACTGTCACAAACTCCAAAGACAAGTCAGATGGACTGCCAACTTAAAACGACCATGAACGCAAGTGTTAGCCATGCCCAGTGCATGCTGGGACAGACTCTAGCCTCCCTGTGACCCTGAATAGGATTACATGTGTATGGATGACTGGCCGTCTCTAAAGGCAACATAGTTCAAGCTTTCACTTTTTTTGTCAATTTACAACATTACAACTGACCTGTTTCAGGACAGGAGGTGGAATGGGACAGAGAAAGGGAAAAGGAAAAGTGAAAGATAAGCCTTACACCGAGAGAAATGTGTGTGTGGATGGTGGGATGTGGAGAGATCTAGAAAGGAAAACATAAAAGCGTGAAATTGAAGTACATCAGAGGGAATGAGTGAGAGGTCAGGGTGAATGGGAGGACAGCGTGAAAACCTATTTCTTTTGTCGGTGTTCCTGGCTGGTGAAGAGAAGCTTGATTCTTCAGCCAGAGTTAGAGCTCCATAAATCTGAGGCCTGCAAACAAGGCTACCTCTCATGCAACACATGCATGTATACACAGTAATGTCCCTTCGACGACATGATGGTAAGACAGAAAGGAAATGTAGAACTGAGGACAGGGGGATGTCATAATCATGAATTCCTGTGGTTACTGCCATGAGAGATTTAATTTTGGTAACTCTGAGCATATAGTCTGACTCTTTTAAATGTAGCAACATGTCATCAATGCTTAAAACAGGGGAACAACAGGCAAGTTAGTTAGTAAACAGAAATAATTTAGTACATTGCTATTTTTAAAACTGCAGGGGAGGTGGGGCTGTAACTGAAACAACTATTAATATTAACTCAGTATCTTGATAAAGAAAACACTAAACGTTGAACTGATTACTGCAATGTGTGATATACACCCCAGAGATTAAAATCAAGGCATCTGACAGAGTCCTGCAAAACCGACCGCTACTATTTTTTTGAGGTCAATATTGAAATTGATATGCGACAGTTAAAAAAAACTGTTCAATAAACATTTTTGATAAAGATTTGTTTTTATTAGTGTTAGAAAATCATATGTATAAAACATATGTGAAAAGTTTTAGAATATAAATTAATTTATTAAGTTTATTAAGATTATTATTGAGATCAGTTTGGGAATGATAACCTATCATACACACATGTAATATGTTTTAAACTTTCTGTGACTATAATCCAATTGATCTTATTTCCATGCTGTATAGACACCTTATTTTGAAAACCGGGCATTGTGTATCCTTGCGCTAAATTCTTCAAGTCTAACCAGTGTCCGAACATGTGAAATAATGTTGTATGTGGTTCTCGTATCGTGTAAAATGAAGACTTCACAGCCTCTCTTCAGGTAGGACTCTAATACTGCAACACTTGTCTTTGTAAAGAGAGAAACTGACAGGATAAAGTCTCTAACCTGCCTGTTAGCTCGCACTGGTCCATTACAGTGGATTTACCATGAAGGCTTTAATACGTGTGCACTCCAAATGTAGGTATGGCTAGCTTAATCGCCTTCTCACAAACAAGTGACAGAAACAGGCCATTAACGTTACCGTAGTTACCTCAAAATAAAAGTGGTTGTCTCGAGTCGGAGGCCAAAGTGTCTGAGCGTGCAAGCTAACAGTAGCACGGAGCAGCGCACACAAAACACAACGTTACAGGTCTGTAATATATTATGAGATGTAAAAATATTTTTCGGTTCATTTTGAAACTATGGCGGAGCAAATTAGACTATGGCAGGCCGCCATGGTCTCGTTAATTAATGGGAAACACAGTGATTTCTGACTGAGTGATCTCAGAATGAACCTCCCCTTCTCCAACATCACGCTCTTTTCTGCTCATACCAAACTGTAGAATTGGCAAATAACTGTTGAGTTATGTAACCTGATTGTTCTGAACGCTCTAAAAGTTTTCAGTAAAGCCTACCCTGCCTCTCCCCCTCCTGTACGTGCATGCAGAATCTCTCTGACTTTACATTGGGCATTTAATCAGGAATCTGTGGGCCAATGGTCTGATTTATAGATTTCATAACGCTTGCCAGGCTTGGCTGCAGAAGAAATAAGAACATCGGTTTGGACCAATATATTACTTCTCTGGTTCTTACAAAAGCACCAGAGAAGCTACTTTTTCTTTTATGCACCAAATAAAGTGGATGCCCCACAACTTGAGTCTTTCAAACCTAAAGCCTTTCATAGTGCTACTCGGGGAGGGGTTAATATTTATGTTGTTACTTTAATGTTGCTTTAATCTTAGTCTTATTTCTTTATTAGTTTTAAACCATAACAGCCCTTGATCTAACAAACACAACAATGTACAAAATAATATAGAAATACGCGCCACCCCTCCCTCTCACCACCACACACCCCTCCTGACCCCACACACATATATCCCATCCAGCAGAAGATTTATATCTTGGGCAGAACTGGGTAGTACTGGGGCTTTATTTGATAGCCTGTCTGGGGTATAGTATATTCTATGGATATGACTGCATTGTAATTTTATGTCTAGCATTTAAAGAGAAATACTGACTACCATTCCACATAGGGCTGGGCAATAAAACAATAATGATAATTATTGCAATATAATTTTCCTCAATAACAATATAACGTGTTCAATATGTCGTCAATTAATCTTTGATTTAATTCGTTTGAATCATGAACAAATTAGCAATAAATTTTTCTAAGATATTTATTTTGTTGAGGAAAAGAAACTGAAAAAACATTTACTGACCATATTTGTTGAAAAAAGATTTCATCAGAATCGCTTTGAATGTTCTACCTCAGATTTGTTAAGTGATCCACTGTTTGGCATCAAGTGTTTGTCATGTTCTGACCATTAAGAAAAGTTTAACCACATAACCAACCATCTGGTTTCTTCAACTTTCACTCAGGAGGAAAAAATCAGCCTTTAAACTTGAAAAAAAATAATGATTTGACATTTTTCGTGATAATTATTGATATCAAATGATATGAAATGTTTTTATCTTCTATCTTTTATCACCCAGCCCTAATTACACAGTGCTTCCCATTCTGCTTCTTCAAAAGTACACTCAAGGTCAATTTTCCACCTGCATTTCCTGTCCTATAATTTGAAATATTCCTGAGTATGAGTCCTAATAATTGTGGACGACCATCCTGAATTGATAAAGTGCCTAACCTCGAGGTTTTTGAAAAAGTGAGTGTGGGTAGCCTGTATTGGGAGGAGAGTTTTTCAAAAACATGAAGGACTCCATCTTTAAACAGATCTCAAAAGATTTTAATAAAACATAGTTTTGTGATACCATCTCTAAGGGCTGCATAATGTCTTATTTCTTTGTTTTGTTGTTTTTCTCTGTTGTGTATTTTACTTTTTTACATTTTGATACACTGAATGAAATGTGATATGACAGGCCAGCTGCTTAATCTACAGTATTTAGATTCAATAATTCTCCAGCACATCTTGCAAACTGCAAGCTGGTGAACTGAAGTTCCATCTGAAGCTGGGGAGTTAAAATTCAACCTATACCATTAAACTAAATGTGTTGGCCTGGCTACATGGCTGCTGTGTCATTTGAAAAGAGAAGATTAAAGATAATTTTCAGCATGGACAACAGAGAAATAGAACCAAATAGTGCAAAAGATGTCTTACTGTTGATGATGGAGATGTCTCTGTTCTTGTAGTGCTCTGACAGTGTGATTGAGGAGCCAGAAATGGAGGCCACAGTTCGGACCGTCCGGCTGCTGTCCGCGCAGTTGAGGTAGCTCGCAGTCATCCCCGTCTCGTACCCACCGCCGGCTCCTCCAGTTCCAACTTTGACCCCACCTCCTCCCAGGCCTCCACCCAGGTTGTCGGGGAAGTTAAACGAATCCCGCGTGCGGTCGCGACAGTATGACTTGTAGACCCACTGTACCACGGGGGTCTGGGTGGACACGCTGTTGTACTGACACGGCAGAATCACTGACTGGAACAGCACAGCGTACCTCTTCTCATCTCTCACAATTACATGAACCCCTGAGCAACGGGGAGGAAGGACATCTGTGGGAGATAATTAAGAAGAGTCGGTTAAGTGTGAAAGAAGGATCTGTTATGAAAACAGGTTAATCGTTAGTGATAACAATCATCAAAGAAGAAAATTGACTACTCCGGCAGACAAAGAACCACACCAGAGATTTTCTACATGGACCAACAACAGGTGGAACTGTTACTGAAAGTAACACGGGACTACAAAGTGACTATTGCGGTGGACAACAGACTGGGAGTTGTCACAAAGTAAATGCAGTGACATGCACAGCACAAGTTTATAATTGTTATTGCAGTACAAAGTGTTTTAATAAAAATACCAAAAGTAGCATTGTGTTTTTTCTTTGCAAGACCCAATCAGGAAGCCAGATGTGAGTGTCTGCCTCTGTCTGTCCGCACTAAAACGCTACCCCAGAGTTTTAAAACAAAAACGAGGTCAGAAGCATTTTCATACTTTTTCGTTTTAGTTCTTTGGATTTGCATTTTTTTTTCTTTCGGAGGATATCATTATCTCTGATGTCCATTGCAAATAATGGTCTATAAATCTGCTGAGAAATCATAGAAAACTTATCTGAAAATAAGTCCCCCTCCCAAAAAAGCCCTTTTAACAGGGAAAATGGAAGAAACCTCAGGAAGAGATTGTAAATGTAGATTGCAAAACATAAGTGAAAAGGATGGACCCAGGATACATTGCAAACAGGAACTGCTTATACTGTTGTTAACTCACTATACTTTAAATGGCAATTTGTTGTTGGGGGTGTAGTTGTCTAGTTTTTTTTAACCAACCTCTGGCTTGGACAAACCAGTTCTGGCAGCCAAAAACATGTTTCAGTAATAACTAGGAGTGTGTAATGAGGGGGATTTAAGGATTACAACAGCAGACAGTAACACGCAATGATTCAGATGCTGAGTCAAGGTTTAAGGAGACACCTATTCTTGTTTGCTCACTTTAAAACTACTGGTGCTGGTCATATAATTAGAATATCATCAAAAAGTTGATTTATTTCAGTAATTCCATTCAAAAAGTGAAACTTGTATAATGTATACATTCATTCCACACAGACTGATATATTTCAAGTGTTCATTGCTTTTAATTTTGATTATTATAACTGACAACTAATGAAAATCCCCAAATCAGTATCTCAGAAAATTAGAATATTGTGAAAAGGTTCAATATTGAAGACACCTGGTGCCACACTCTAATCAGCTAATTAACTCAAACACCTGCAAAGGCCTTTAAATGGTCTCTCAGTCTAGTTCTGTAGGAAACACAATCATGGAGAAGACTGCTGACTTGACAGCTGTCCAAAAGACGACCATTGACACCTTGCACAAGGAGGGCAAGACACAAAAGGTCATTGCTAAAGAGGCTGGCTGTTCACAGAGCTCTGTGTCCAAGCACATTAAGAGAGAGGCGAAGGGAAGGAAAAGATGTGGTAGAAAAAAGTGTACAAGCCATAGGGATAACCGCACCCTGGAGAGGATTGTGAAACAAAACCCATTTAAAAATGTGGGTGAGATTCACAAAGAGTGGACTGCAGCTGGAGTCAGTGCTTCAAGAACCACCACGCACAGACGTATGCAAGACATGGGTTTCAGCTGTCGCATTCCTTGTGTCAAGCCACTCTTGAACAAGACACAGCCTCAGTGTCTCGCCTGGGCTAAAGACAAAAAGGACTGGACTGCTGCTGAGTGGTCCAAAGTTATGTTCTCTGATGAAAGTAAAGTTTGCATTTCCTTTGGAAATCAAGGTCCCAGAGTCTGGAGGAAGAGAGGAGAGGTACAGAATCCACGTTGCTTGAAGTCCAGTGTAAAGTCAGTGATGGTTTGGGGTGCCATGTCATCTGCTGGTGTTGGTCCACTGTGTTTTCTGAGGTCCAAGGAAGCAGGAAGCACTTCATGCTTCCTGCTGCTGACCAACTTTATGGAGATGCAGATTTCATTTTCCAGCAGGACTTGGCACCTGGACACAGTGCCAAAACTACCAGTACCTGGTTTAAGGACCATGGTATCCCTGTTCTTAATTGGCCAGCAAACTCGCCTGACCTTAACCCTACAGGAAATCTATGGGGTATTATGAAGAGGAAGATGCGATACGCCAGACCCAACAATGCAAAAGAGCTGAAGGCCACTATCAGAGCAACCTAGGCTCTCATAACACCTGAGCAGTGCCACAGACTGATAGACTCCATGCCACGCCGCATTGCTGCAGTAATTCAGGCAAAAGGAGCCCCAACTAAGTATTGAGTGCTGTACATGCTCACACTTTTCATGTTCATACTTTTCAGTTGGCCAACATTTCTAAAAATCCTTTTTTTGTATTGGTCTTAAGTAATATTCTCATTTTCTGAGATACTATTTGGGATTTTCATTAGTTGTCAGTTTTAATCATCACAATTAAATGAAATAAACATTTGAAATATATCAGTCTGTATGTAATGAATGAATATAATATCCAAGTTTCACTTTTTGAATCGAATTACTGAAATAAATCAACTTTTTGATGATATTCTAATTATATGACCAGCACCTGTATCTGACAAATCCACCATTGCACGATGGAGGGCATACCTTTCGTGTATTTGTGTGAAATCACCCTTTTCCAAAAGAGATTCAGTAAAGTTGAAATATGTCTGGATGAACACTAACTAAAAGTACTTTCGTTTAATTTTAGATAGAATGAAATAAATAGTTGTGCAGTTTGGCAAGATAAATGTACAAAAACAAGGCTGTGCTGAGACTGTTTGAGTTGCTTCTGCTCAGTGAAATCTGACTGGGAGCTGAGCTGACCCGAAGTTGTTATGGAGCTTCTGAAGCCGCAGGACTCTGGGTCACATGATGACCAGGAGCTCCAGCTCGGCAGTTGTACAGCAACACACACTAGAGAGGTGATGTGAGAAAAATACACCCACTCACACACACACACACACACACACCCAGAAACATCTGTGTATGCTGCTGTGTGTGTGTTTCTCAGACTAAGCAGTGGGAGGTGTGACTGAACTGAACCAGTGAACAGGGATGATGTGAAGGATGAGAAGGAGGCTGTTTCACCTAATCCAGACCAGGCCTGTAAAAAGAGTTTTGTTTTCTTTCTGTTACAAAGAGTGAAGCTCAGCTAACACCCTCGCCTGGTGACAAGTGAACCCAACAAGCTACACCAAGCACATTGTTATGTTTGGAAACATTGTTTACAGGCTTTGGCAGAGACTTACACACTGACACTTTTTATATAAAAAAACATCACAGACCCCAACATAGTTACTAACAAGTGCTGAAACAATTAGTCAGTTGATCGATTAGTTGATTATTTTTATAATTGATTGATAATTTAATTAATTTTTTAAGCAAAATGTCACGCATTGGCTGGTTCTATCATAACAGATTTGAGGAGATTTAGATTTTCTCAGTTTTGAATTGTTGTAAATTGGTTTTCTGTATGTATTTGTTTAAAGGCTCATGTGCATCACCTGAAGCCAATTTGGTTTCACATTAAAGTTTGGCTGGAGTGGTGTGGATTTTGGAAAGAAAAAAAGAAGCATTGTTCAGACCAAGAGGAGTAAAGCTGACTAAAACATAAAATTCCTCAGTAAGAACATTACTCTGACTTCTAAGAAGTGGAACAAAAAAAGTCAGGAGGTTGGTCTCCCTGGGATCACAGGCTGTGGGGCGATCCAGGCTTTATTAGTTTTCAGAGGAAGCCACCTCCAGAGGAGAAAATGAAAGCAGGAGGAAGAGGAGAAGGAGGGGGGAGATAGTTACTGTTGTAATATTGAACAGAGGAGCCATGCTTAGAAAGTTAGTCAGACTGGAGTGTAGCATTAAATGTTTTGCTGTGTTGGTTTGTCTGCTTTCATGCGGGAATAATCATTTCAGAACATATTCAGTTTACTATCACACAAGACTATACGAACCAGAACATATTCCTATTTTAGAAGCTGGGGCCAGTTCATTTAAAAAAAATCGTTTTTGCTTTGAAAAATACTTAAATAATTAATAGAGTATCAGGTTCATCGTTTGTTGAGCTATTAATATCTTATTCAACAAATCGTTTCAGCTATAATCTAGAATATTAGTATTGAAGCTACCCTGTTGGATTTGTAGGGTTAAAAAAAATTATGCAGCCTGGTCTGGTACGTTACGGTATATATATTTTCAAATAACTTATCTGTATTCTGTTCCTATCTGGTCTGTTTATTGTGCTGAAGTTTTATAACCATATCTTGACTTATACATGATCAGTTCTGAATCCAAATCCCCTGCGACGTTACTTCACATGCATGTATTTCATCATTTCAAAGAATTATTTAAAGGTCTTTTTGTATCTATAAACTAAATGAAGTGGTAAACTATCATTTCATTGAGGGACCTTTTTAAATCTGTCAGAAGTTAACGTTAGACCTCCTAATCCGTAACAGCCAAAGCTTCTTGTTGGATCATTCACACATGACTAAGTTAATAGTCTACTGCAGCACTGTTAGCATACCGGACCAGAGTACCAAGCTACACTCTAATACCTTTCTGTGCAAAATGTTGCAGTATTGCCAGAATAGAAACGACCTTGTTCTGCTTCAGAAAAATCACTGATGCTCGGCTTTTATAATGTAATTATCAATAGGGGGAAACAGTTTGAATCTAAATACTTAATCCGTCTGTAAAGACTTAACAAACCACTGCAGGTTAGCTTAGTTGTGGTGACGTTAGCTTAACTGTTACTGTCCAAATTTAAGTTTGAGTTAAACAACCTGTTGAGCGACTTTTCTCAGAGTGGATCCCAACTTTTATTTCCGTTCATCTTCTCTTACCTGTCAGACAAACGATAAAAATCCACCACTTCGGCATCAAAAACATTTTCCAAATCCTGCAGGTGAGTTTCATTAAAGTTTTCAGATGAACGTCGTCTTCTTTTCTCTTTCCTCTCATCCCTGGACGATGCGTTGGCTCCCGCAGACAGCTAACGGGACTGCAGCGCGCGAGCAGCCGCACCAGCGTCAAGTGTATCAAAATAAAACTCAAAACATCCGGCTGAGGGTTTCAAAATAAAAGCATTGTTGATGCACATGATTATACCAGGGAAGTAGTATTGTGAGTTTCAGTGCAAAATGTTGCAGCTTTGCCAGAATAGAAACGACCTTGTTCTGCTAAAAAAAAATCACTGATGCTCAGCTTTCATAATATAGTTATCAAATGGGGAAACGTTTGAATCTAAATGCGTAATGCTTCTGTAAAAGCTTAGTCATTGCCTAGGCGCTGCTGTAGGGTAGGGCCCATGCTTGTAGCCTGTTTTGCAAAGTTTGTGAAATACAAATGAACGTTTTCGCAGTCTGAATGGTGTTGCAGATTCATTGCAAGTTACTTTTTAGTCTATACTGCATTCATCTGATGGTTGCAAGAAGCGCCACCTGATTATGTGAAGTATGTATGAAACATACTCAGCGCCTGTGGACCCTGTCATATCTTCTTTAGAGCGCAAAAGTCACAGTTTTATCGGTTATCCTTTTATTGTGAAGTCCACATGACCCCATGTCTAGCAGCTGTCTAGTTGTAACTTTATGCAGCAGGGTGGGAGGATAGATGTCCATTGGTGGGAGGCGCCGAGACGCTCTTGCCATAGACAGGGAAGCAGAGGGTGAAGCATTAAACATGGTGAGGACAATATTAACATTTAATTAAACGTATAATAAACGTTTCAGATGTGAGTGAACTTCCCAAATAATAGACTACTAATGAATACTACTACTTAAAATATATATATTTTTACCCCACATGTTGTATTGTGTCATAATATGCAACTTGAGGTGTTTGAGAGGTGTAATGTTGCCATCTAGTGTTCAGGATTCATTCAGTTCAAGAAGCTGCTTTATCAACTTTATTTAATCAGCTTTATTTTTTACAATATATCATGAATTGAATGCATCTCAAAATGTTTCACAATAACATGACATATTGATTAAGCCCACTGTAAAACTGATAACATTACTATGAGATAAAAGCACATGTTCATTAGGCTATCATATTTCTTTGCATTTTAACAGAAGCTCAATAAAATAATTCAACATAAAAAAAAACATGAAAGTTATGGTAGAAAATCGTGTCCTCTTACATTTAATCTTTTATGTATGATATTTAATATTATTATTATTATTATTATTATTATTACTATTCTCATTATGGCTTATATATGTATTGTGTTTTTTTCCTCCTATACTCCTTATTTAGTACGTCTAGATTTACTAGGGTTTAGGTCAGAGCTGTGAGATTGTATTGGTGTTTTCCTCTTTTGCTGTTCCTCTCCTCTTCTGGAATGTTCATTCAAGGCTGAGAGAGGATCTCTGTTCCCCAATACATAGAAACCTAGACTGTGTAAATGATGCATCCCTATGCTTGGGGCCAGACGCCCGAAGCCACCCTAGGTGGCAGGTCTCTGGACCAGCTGTATATGTGTTTAAGTACTTCTCTGTTTATTCTCTTTTGTTAAATAAATTCTTCAAACAGTTGGTTGTAACTCAATTCTTTGCTCAACCCCTCACCAGGAATATAATTTTCACGACAAAGGTGGCATGGCAAGAGATTACAGTTTTTTCTGATGGCTTAAGCACATTTTTTGTAACTATTGGCTATTTTTTGCAAAACTCTACACATATAAGAAAACCCTTCACCAAATCAGCAAAACATTGTAATTCTCTTGCAAAAGCTAATAAACCTTTCATTAACTCTTCAAACCTTCGTAAAAATGGTATTTTTGTATCAAACAGTTAACACAAGCCATCACATTAATAAGCACACAATGCGCCAACTACACACTGATGGTATGAATAAAAAATACATCTGGCTTTTGCTTTCTCTGTGCACAAGGTAGGCTATGTCAGTTTGAGGTCATACTTTTGTCATAGTTAGGGATACAAACTTCAAGTACTGGTGTTTATTTACACACATCAAAACAAACACAAGTGTTTTTTTCCAAGTCAAAACACAAAATAGTAATTTCACTGAAAAAAATTAAAAAAAAAAATCAGTCTACATCGTCTCTCTGGGTCTGGCCACAAAATTTCGTCTACATCACCTGCAATGTCCTCTAGTCTAAGGCACCAGGGAAAATATCTTCTGGAATGCTGTATCCAGGCCTGACATGATGCCTGGTCAATATCCCCACATGCCTCATCCATTGCCTGTAAAAGGGCTATGCGTTGATGGGGATGGCGGTCATAGACCTTCCAGCGGCAGGCAGAGCTCTTCAATTGGATTCATGAATGGAGAGTATGGGGGGAGGTTGAGTACAGTGAAGAGCAGGTGATCTGTAAACCAGTTGCGGACCAAAACAGCCCTATGGAAACTAACATTGTCCCATATGATGACATATCTGGTCTGCTCTGGTCTCTGAACATTAGTGAGCATGTCATGTAAGGTGTCCAGGAATGTAATAATTTGTGCAGTGTTATATGGGCCTAGGGTTGCATGATGGTGAACAACACCATTTTGACTTATAGCTGCACACATAGTTACGTTACCACCACCTTGTCCTGGGACATTGATTATGGCACGGTGTCCAATAATGTTCCTGCCACGTCTCCTTGTTTTAGTGAGGTTAAAACCCTCCTCATCCACAAAAAGCTGTTCATGACCCATGGCATCTGCCTCTAGCTCCATCACTTTCTGGACAAGACAAAACAAATGCAGCACATTAGGCCCATGCACAGCACTATGCACTTCCACATTCAGTACCAATGATACTATAGCTTACCTGCACATAGTCATATCGCAGTTGTTTTACACGTTCACTGTTTCTTTCAAAAGGGACTCCGTAGATTTGTTTTATTCGTATTCTGTTGCGGGCAAGTACACGACATAATACAGAATTGCTCACATTGTGTATGTTCTGGAAGGTGGTGTCATTTTCAATTATGCACTGCTGTATTTCTCGTAGCCTTATGGAATTATTTGCAATCACCATATTGACTATATGGGTCTCTTGTTCTACAGTGAACATTCTTCCTCTGCCCCCAGCATCTGTACGTCTAGCAATTGTGTAAAGTAACAATTTCAGTATTTTTACATGTATGGTATTGTTGTGTTTCTCATTAGAGTATGGCAGTGCTACAAAACTTAGTGCAAAGTGACTGTACTAACCGATTCTCATTTCGAAATGTCCTTATGATGCTTGCTACAGTGTAGCGGCTCAAGTTAGGCTGAACCCGTTGGCCAGCTTCCCTCAGGGTCATTCCATGGTTGATTACATGGTCCACTATTGTAGCTCTGATGTCATCAGTAATTCTATTTCTTACTCTTCTTACCCTTCCTCTTCCTCCTCCTCGTCCTCCTCTTGGACCTCTTGTCCTCTTCCTCTAATTTCACCTCCTTGTCCTTGTTGTCCTCTCCCTCTTGCTTCTTCACCTCCGCGTCCTCTTCCTCCTTCTCTTCCTGCTACTTCTTCACCTCCGCGTCCTCTTCCTCCTCCTCCTACTTCTTCACCTCCACGTCCTCTTCCTCGGCCTCCTCTAATTCTCACTCTTCCTGCTCCCTCCATTGTACTCCACATGGACAGCTTACCTGTGGCTTATTTATCAGCTGATTGCAAAGTGAACTAATTATCTAAAACAGTTTTCACATGTGACAGTGTGCCAGACAGTTGGCAAAACAGTGTAAATAATAGCCATACATGTGTATATTTTTGCTAGGATTGTATTGATCATTTGGAAATTGAGTGTAAATCAGTGAGTTGTGTTTACAGTTCCGCAAAAAGAGTGCTGTGCAGTGGATTGTACCTACAGTTTTGCAAAGTGTGTGTTAGAAAAATTGCAAACTGAGTGCAAAGCAATGTTTGTGCTTTTAGTTTTGCAAACTCAGTGAGTGGTTTTGCTATAAGTATTAATAGTTTAGGAAATTGTGCTATAAGAATCACGGTTAGGGTTTAAGCATTCAGAAAAAACTGTAAATTTTGTATGCTCAAATCTGAAAGATTTGTGGTGACATTATCGATCTCAACAATCAGAGGAAGTTGTAGTTCAGGTTTCTATATTTTTATTAAAAAGTAAAAAACAAACAAAAAAACCCAGGAAGTACTCTGTTATGGTTTGAGGGTTTTTGGTCTTGTTTTGGTTTCATGTCTTGTGTTCTACTGTGTTTGCCTTGTTTTGTTCTTGTGGTGACTTTATGATTGGTCTGGTCCTATCTTGTAATGCATGCTGTTCTGTGTCTTCTGTTCACTTTGTCTAGTCCTTTGTCTAGAGTATTGTGTAGAGTTATTTACTTCCTGTTTTATTTTGCTATCGTCAGTGTTCCTGTCTAGCTTTGTTCCTGTTCTGTCTTAGACTATAGTTTGTTACCTCTGCTTGTGTTACTGTACTTTTGTAAACGGCTCTGTCTGCCTGTGTTTATGATCATTTTGGTATATTTGTTATTCTGTTCCATGTCTATCTGTTCCATTTAGTTTCATTATGTGGTCAAAATAAAATCATTGTTGATGCAAATTCACTGGGGAAGTAGTGAAGCGAGGAAGAAAGGAACGAACTGGCTTACTGTGGTAAGCCTAAGTATTTTACTGTGAAAGTATAGTTTATAATTTCCTTTATTTCCCAACCAACATTTTAGAATGCACAATTTTATTGGGCTTTCATAACACCTGAGCAGTGCCACAGACTGATCGACTCCATGCCACGCCGCATTGCTGCCATAATAAATAAACATTTGAAATATATCTGTGTGTGTGTGTAATGAATAAATATAATATCCAAGTTTCACTTTTTGAATGGAATTACTGAAATAAATCAACCTTTTGATGATATTCTAATTATATGACCAGCACCTGTACTGTATCTGCTATTCATGTCAGTTGTAGCAGTTAAACTGCCATCCTTTTAATTAACACCTAAAGCAGTGCTGAGGGTGCAACTGTGTGTGCACTTTGTCACGGTCAGCCATGGTTTTCGTTCACTTGCAGAGTCATGAAACCTCCATGCACCTGGAACGCTTTGATGACGGA